GTAAAAAAATGTAATTCTTTTTTAACAAAATATCTATTTTCAAGGAATGTTTTTCAAATAATTGAATCCATTTCATTAAATAAAAATTTGATTTCATTATTTAGCAATTTGACGGTATGATTTATTAATAATTGTAAACTATTAAAGTATAATTTTTACAATATAAGTTAAAGACTGCCCAGAGGAGTTATATTGAAATTTCTTTAATAATTTCATACTTTGTTCATATTTCTCATATATTCTTAATATAACTTAATGTTATTTATATATTATTGTTTGTATTAATAGAAATATATAAATAGATTATAATTATAAATTATAATAGTTATTAATTATGTGTTTAAAAATATTATATACTTAAATGCACAGTATTGATATTTTTTTTATTTGTGGAATCTCAAATATTTTCCTTATTAACTATATTATTAATATATTATCAATTGATATTTTAATAATTTATTTAACTATTTTAAATATCTCAAAAAAAAAAAAAAAAAACTACCTACATAATAATATTTTATTGTATAAATATTCTTTAACGTTAATATATTTGATGTAAAAACATAAAAATCAGGATCCAAACTAAAAAAAATTAAAATGATATAAGTACTTATTTTGTTATGTTTATCAATAAGGAATATAAAATTAAAAACTATTAATAATGTAATGGTAAGTATATTCAGTTTATATTATTCGAGTCTCATGATAGCTATAATTTTTGTATAATTCTTTTAAGTGATAAATTTTAAAAGTAATAATTCATTAATTATTTATTTTGAATTTTTTTTCTTCCTAGTTAAATTTTTAAAAAAATTAATACGTATTTATTGTTTTCTGAAAGTTTAAGAAGTGCATTATTTAGAAATTTGATAGATTTTTTTTTATTGTTTATGGTGCACTTAACTCACAGTCTTGATTATAAATAATTAATTAAATGTATGAAAAATTATTTGATTCGGTTTTTACTATTTTGATTTAATTTTAAATTATTCTGTTATAGCTATTTTCTTTGTATTAATAATACTTTTTTTTTTTGTAAATAAAAAAAAATAATAATACTAAAATATATTTTAAAATTTAGGTTTAAATCTGTTGTTTTTTTTCAATTATTATTGTATACTGTACATTTTAAAGTAAGTTCCTAAGTTTTTCTTAGTTTGTGTTCAAATTATATGAATATTAAGAATCAATATTGATATACCTAAGACACTATGACTACCGGAGAATAAGAAATTGTATAAAAAATAGTGAATTCAAATTGTTTTGGTTTATGAATAACTAAATTATTTATGATGAGACTTATTAATTTTTCGTTAGTTATTATCATAGTCAAATAAATATGTGACTTACATTTTTTTTTAATTTTTCTTTTTTTTTACTTCTATATAGACTATACCAGAGGTTTTCATACTTTTCACTGTATGTACTCATTTTGGTATATATATTTTTTTTACTTTAATTATTATTTAATTATTATACACAAATGTAGGATTTAAAATTACACATTTTTATATAAAAATTCTTATGCGACTCTTATTTTGGATTATGGCCCATAGTTTGGTTACCTTTAAATTGTACAATTAATCGACCCTTATTGAAATGATTATGATGGTAATATTTTGAATCAAAATCTGAATAAAATTAAGAAAAAATGATCAATCTAATATTAATTAACCTTGTCACTTGAAAGAAATATAAAAGTTTAATTTAATTATTATCTTATTTTCTATATTTTTAATATATTCTACAAGTGTAAAGTGTTAATATATGAAATAGACCTTGAATATAAATTTATTGTTAATAATTTTTTAAATTTGTTTTTAATAGTATGATTTTTTGTCATATGTTATACATAAATTAAAATTTTGATTGTAAAATGTATTTCTAATTTTTCATTATGAGTTTTGTTCATATTAAAAGATATTTGATGTATAAGTTTTTAGTAAGTAAAATGTATTGAAGTATATAATATTTAATTATAAATTGTAATAAAATCATGTACATGAAATAATTTAGTTGCAAATTTTTATTTTTAATATTGAAATAATACCTCATAATTTCATACTGTCAAGTAATAAATTATACATGAATTATTCTAAATTTTCATTATGTTACATTTATATACAATTTATTTGAAAATAGCATACTTTGATAAATATGATTGTACCTACATTTAAACCAACTTTTTTTTTTTTGCTTCACGCGCCATTTAGGCGCTTCGCAGCTTCCACCAAAGTTCTCCAACCTTCCCGATCCTCTGCATCCTCAATATTTGCTCCATTGCGTAATATCTTCAAGTCGTCCTTTACTCAGTCCAACCACCGTTGTCTTGGTCTTTACACAGGACGTGTCTTATTTGGTTTGTTAACTAGTACCTGTCTTATCAGTCTACCCTCTGCACGCCATGACCAGCCCACTCTAATCTTTTCGACTTCAGGAAATCTTTTAAATTGGTTGTATTAAACAGACTGTATAAGTCAGTGTTTTTTCTTCGCTCGTATTCACCAGTATTGGGGTTTAATATATGCCCATATATTTTTCTAAGTATTTTCCTATCAAAAGTCAATAGTTTATTCTCGTCACCCTGCGCCGTAGACCATGTCTCACATCCGTACATAACATTGGGACGTAAGTAGGCTATGTATATTTTTTTCTTTGTGTCTCTTGAAAGTAGTTTTAATGTAAACATTTTTCTCATTGCTTGGTATCTTTGGTTTGCTGCACTTATTCTGGACTTAATGTCGTTATGCATATTATTTTTATGATTTATTAGCACCTAAGTACTTTAAATTCTCAACTTGTTCAAAAGAGAAATGATCAATGCTTACATTTTGTAACTAAGTTAGATGTCTACTCATTAGCATATACTTAGTCTTATTTTCATTTATTTTAAGTCCCATCTTTTTACTTGACAATATGAGCTTTCTTACCGTCCCTTCTAATTCCATTTTCGATTTTCCAAATAGTATAAAGTCATCCGCATAAGCTAATAGAGTTGAGTGCCCTAGTATTTCCATTTCTCGGTCTTCTTGCATATCTCTTATGACTTTTTCAAGAGCCAGATTGAAGAGTGCGGGAGATAGCGCGTCCCCTTGTTTCAGTCTACATTTGATCTCTAATTTCTTTGATGTTTCTCTTAGGAATCGCACTTTACAAAGTGTATTAGAATTGCAACACTTTATTAAGCTAACCAATTTCTTTGGTATTCCGAAAAGTGCTGATCATAACCAGCATGTAGGTCCACTTTGTTACGTTATTCAATTCTCCTTGTATTATGTTAAAGCAGTTCAGTTCTTCCTTTATTCTGTTTTGGTATTCCATGATTTTCTTTTGATCTCTTAATTTACTTCTATCTAGTTTATGCGGTGTATTAAGTTGCCGCCTTTTTCTCCAAATCGTCGACAATTTTAACGATAGGCTTGCTATCACTAAGAAGTGGTCTGTATCCCCATCCGCGCCCCTATAGCTTCTGACGTTTTTTATGCTTGTTCGGTGTCGCTTGTCAATAATTATATGGTCAATTTGGCTTTTCGTCTAACCGTCAGGTGCCGTCCACGTGTGCTTATGAATGTTTTTTTCTGAAAAAAAAAGGCGCTGCTTATAATAAGGTTTTTCGATTCTGCAAAGCCAACTAGTCTTAGCCCATTATCATTAGATACTGAGTGCCAACTTTTTGGCCTATTGTTAGTCTAAGAAATTGTTCTTTACCGACCTGCGCATTCAGGTCACCAGCAATTATCTTGATGCAGTTGTTTGGTAGAAAGTCAAATAATCTCTCGAGGTCCTCATGGAAAATATTTTTCACTTCTTCATCTTGGTCCTCTGTCGGGGCATAACCGTTAATAATACATATATCGAAAATTCTCCCAGCTATTTGCAGGTAGCATAGACGTTCATTCACTGGCATGAAAAGTTTAATGCTTGACAATATGAAGTTGCTAACTATGAAGCCTATCCCATGTTCGTGTTTGCCTATCTCTTTCCCACTAAAAAAGATAGTTGAGTTTCCAGACTGAACATTACCATTTCCTAGCCAACGGGTTTCTTGTATAGCGACTATTGACACTTTGTATTTTTTAATTTCTTCCACAATATTCTTTAAAGCTACTGCTTTATAGAGAGTTCTGATATTCCAAGTTCCAAACCGAGTCTTCAAAAGTTTTCCGTTCCGAGTTCCACATAGATTCCCAATATTATCCACATTCTGAGGCTTTGTTAGAAAATTCATAACAGATGGTTTTTAACTACGGTGGATTGTTGGTTCACCGCTTAACCCTCAATCCTGGAGGGCTGGTTTTGGAACAGCTTACTAAGGTCAGCCCGTACCTCGGGGCCACAGGTTCCCAAAGCCCGTAGCACTAAATGTTTAGTGCCCTCTTGTGGGTCAAACCAACTTATTTTTATTTCAATAACGTTACACATAATAAGATTTTACTAGTGCAATAAAAAAATTGAAAATGATAAATGTCTTTTTATCATGAGAAGTTTTTGATTTCTATATTACCATTATTTTTTCACGTATCATTTTTTTAAAAATAATAGTTGTATTAACCTTTATTTTTACTTTTATTTAAATCTATAAGATAATATTTTAGTTTTTAAAATGTTTATAAGAATATTGTTCTTAACTGTGTACTAATAATAAGTACTAATAGATGTAATATGAATAAAATTGTGTTAAAAATCAAAATGAAAGATATGGGGTATATCACTATTATTCAACTAATAAATAATGATGAACTAATAGGTAAAACCTAATTTGGAATTAAAATTGCTATTTAATTTGTCTAATACTAGTGGAGTGTGTTACCAGAAATTGTATTAGTTGATATATTTCCGATTAAGAGGGCTAAATGGGTATTAAGATTTTAAATTTAATACAAATAAATATAATTAGTATGATAACAGATAATAATTTTACAATGAGCAATATTATAATTGTATTAATTACTATTTATTATTATATAAAATTTATCAATAATTTTTATTTTTATTTTCAGTTGAAATTTAACAGTGGTAACAAAGCCATTGAAAAGCTAGACTCGATGAGCGAATTGGATGATGAAGTCAAAGGTAAAGGTGGTAATGGTGAAAAACAGAAACCGCAGGTATCAACAGAAACCGTTGTGTCTATTCAACAAACGAAATTTGAATTACCGGAATGTCAAAAAGATAACGATGATAAAAAAGAGAAGGAAAGAGATTTTCGTGCAGAGAATGATGATACTTTGAGCTCAGTGTGTCTTCTTGGCGAGCCACTGGTAAAACATGGGCCTTATACGTTTTACAGCGCGCTAGGATACCGTAAACGTGGTGATGTGTCAAACAACAAAAGACAGCGGAGGAAAAAGCAACAGTCAATAGAGTCATGTTGCTGTAGCAATGTTGATGCAGACAATTATTCATGTTCCTGTTCTGTCTCATCGTCTGGTTCTGAATGGTCAGTTGTACGCATGAACCATTTTTACGCTATCCGCCCATGGTTTAACATTAGAAATAATAGTGATTCGCTACAATATTCACGGGAGCGGCGTCGTCCTTCAAAACATCTAAAACATTCATCAAAGTTATCCACATCGAGTGCGGCAGTTGAACGAAGTGTACATCAATATCAGCAATCTGTATATATTGGTGAACTAGAGTTATTATGGCGAGATGATAGTATAGAAAGAACTACTTCGGTGCCTTCATCATCACTGATTAAAAAACGTATTAGTAACAGAGTTACGCCTTCGTCGTTAGTAACGACATCAAATGGTGGCGAGGACAAGATAGACGACACGCCAATTAATAGCCATGGAGATGTAGCAGCCACTTCTGAGGATGACGATGGTGTCGGAAATGATGACGATTCAGCATTATTGTTGCCACGCCGTCGTACCTTACCCAGGCGTACTCGCCAGCCATCAGCTAAAAAACTTGAAGCTGCAGAATCTTGTGCTGCAGTAGCAGCAGCAACAATTTCTGATAATCACCCTTTACAACAGTCGCTGAACCATCGTAGTCGGCAATCGACAGTACCTTTATCAAACCCCCCTTCCATGACTATGCCTCAATCTACTCCTGATGCCCAATACAAACATGGAAATTTACTATGTAGTGTAAGGTTTTACGTGATGCCCGATCAAATGGTTGCTGGTCGAATTGGTGGTGTATATGGTGAAGACGAAGTACTAGAGATCAATACTTTGAATGCTAATGGTGGCACAGAGCGGCATAGATGGCCTGGCAATGAATTTCTCAATGGTGGTAGTAGAATAGGATCTATCTTAAATGGTGGTGGTGTCGATGATTATAGTTATGGTAGTGGAAGTAATTCGTCCGGAACACTACCATTTGGTTGTTCGGGATTTGTACTTCGTGCTGAAGATTTTGTCGAATGGGTTCGCGGTGGATTATGGAATTATGACGATGAAATTGAAGATACTGAGTCAGACAATGATTCGTTTGAATCTGAAAGTGGTGATGATCAAAAACCAATTAAAACAGATATTTCGAAAGAAGAGGATGATCAAGTATCAAAATTGCCAACATTAGTTTCGGATGTCAAAAGCAAAGTTAAACAGTTAGAAATTGTACTAGATGAAAAAACTAAAGTGAAATTAGAATCAACTTTTACTACAGACGAAGTTAAAAAAGAACATGAGATTACTGCCATCGTCGATCAAAGCGATAATTGTAGGACTTCAGTAAAAGAAATTCATGATGATAATTATTACCTAAATTTGGCTGTTGATGAGGCAGTGAATGCAGAACGTTTTCCCTTGGCAGCTGCTAAAATTCATGAGAAACGGTGTGGGGCTATGATTCACCATAGTGATCACCATTGTTGTAGCATAAATTGTGATTCGTTAGTCAACGGTGATATTACTAATGATGTTAAAATAAAACGTGAACATCTGAATCATGGAAATACGATTGAAGCCCCTGAAAGTATTACATCGCTCTTATCTATGTTATTGTTCATTAATTTATCGTTTAATGAAATATTTTGTTTTTTTATTTTGTTACAGTTGACGATAAGCGTGAAATTAACCAAAAGGTTCACTGTAAACATCATAATCGATGTTCCCATAGTAATGACAGGAATAAAAAAATCCATAGTGGTGGTAGAACTAAACAAAAAGTGGTGGTGATGAGTTACTCTCGATATTGTCGATACAGAGCGCAGTTACAACGTATGCGTGAAGAACAGTATAGTAGAGATTGCATTATTAGCAAAGATGGAACAGAGAGGAAGGTGATGACTTACCAAGGAGCAAATACTAAGACCAAGACTCGTGTGCTTTTTTGTCGAGAAACGTATGATTTTCCAGCTGAACGTCTTCTGCACCCTTTTTGTGAACTACCAGATAACGATCAAAACGCTACTGTATTAGTCAACCATATGGGTAAGTACATTGGTCATCATAATATACCTCCAATGATAGTCGTTTCCTTAAAATTTTTGAGCATAATTATGGATCTGTCAATGATATGTACATTTATAGCAGCATATGTGTATGTGCAATATGCAGTAATAATGAACTTTTTATATAAAGGCATATTTTGAGTAAAGGAATAAGAGTTCGGTAACAAATTTGATTATTATGTAGTAATTATTGGCTCGAAATTACTAAACATATTAAGAGAAATTAATTATTAGTTACTTTTATTTAAAAAAAATACTTACCTACTAAAATGTTCTTAATGATTTAGAAATTCACTGAAATTAATTTAATTTAATTATATTTTAAGGTATTTGAAAAATTCCTCCTTTAAAACAATTGTTTATCTATTTGATATTATGTTAATCTATAGTTTTTTTTTTTAAAACCAATCAATATTTCTGATATAAAAATATTTATTATTTTTTTTTATAGCACCTAAACTAAAAGGCTGGCCTACTTATCCTGCATCTTGGATGTCTTTTCGATGGAACCGCGTGCGTCGTCAGCTGCGTCATTTAGAGCGTGATAATGGTGATAACGAAGATCAGCGCAGACGCCGTCGTCGCCGAAAGCTCAAAAAGACATGTCGTCAGAAACAGAACGGAACAAGTGGAATGGCAACTAACTATTCGTCTTCAACTGAAGACGACTATTTAGACGATTCAGATTCTGAAGACGCATCGTCAGCTTCAAATGATGCCGCTACAAATTCTACTACCTTTTCTTCTACCTCTACATCAGATTCAGATGGAGCACCGCCAAATTTGTCAGCTATGCCTAAAACTCTTAACAAGAATCATTCTTCATCGAAAGTTAATGGTGGTGTTCATAGTGACAAAAAGACCCTATCATTGCCATCTACTAGTAGTATGATCATTATTAATGGTGCTACTACTATAACAACAGTTGCTAATAACAAGCGTAATGCTACAGCTACAGGACAATCTGGTCTACAACAGTTGACCAAACGTCGTCGAGTTATATATACCACAGAAAGCGTAACCCAGCAAAATAATCAACAACGAGTATTGTATCAGCAGCAGCTACAACAACCACAGCCTAGGCAACAACATTCCAACCTTCGACCTAAACAGTTAGAGCAATTCCATCAACTTAGTCAATCGCAACGTAATCAACACATGCTTGTTATTAAACAACAACAACCAAAACTACATTCGATTAGTAGACGATTACCAACACCTATTGCATCTATACAGCCCTCAACTACTAGAATAATTCATCATCATCTACCACCTTCAGTAACTATTATGCCGGTCATAGTACCCACAAGTAATACTGCTTCTCAACATCATCAACAACGATTTAATAATCGTCTGCAAAACAGGCAAAAACAACACTCTACTTCTACAATATTATCAGCTGCTTCACAACGACGATTTAATACCAGTGATCGACAGCAAACGTCACTTCCACCTGTTATCATTGAATATGATAACGATGACAACCATGAGTATGCATCTGATGATAATGGTAGATACAAAAAGTCTACAATAGCAGCAGCTATAGCTGCTTGTCATCGACGTGTAGAACAACATGATTCTGAAGATAAGATAAAGCAGCAACGGGAAGAAGAAGAAAGGCAGCGTCGATGGCTAGTAGATGCTCTGCGATTAGGTGGATTGGAAGTAACAGCAGTGCCATTAAATACCAGTAGTGGAAATAACAGTGGAAGTAGTAATAATATAAAGATTAGTAGCTCTGTGACAGAAACTGTACAACAGCAACAGAAACAATGGCGACAGCGTGGTGTATTGTTTGAATCATTGTTATCAACTGATAATGAACATAATAAGAATGACGTTCAACAACACCACAGTGTTGATGGTGATGACGACTCAATCCAAGAATCGGACTCTGATTCTGTGGTGATGACGGTTACACCTGATGTTGTTTGCATATTAAATAAGTCTCAACAACAGGAATCAGTGGAAACAAAACACCAACAACAAATGTCGTCTAGAGATGTACTTACTTCTACAGCGTCAATGACGATGACTCACCATCAAAAACAACTTCGCCATTCAATCAACTCAAATAATGATGGCAATAGCGGTGGTGATCAGCGACAACATCCTGTTACTGCAGCGGTCGCAGCAGCTGCATTACATGATAAAATAAATCGTGCAATTGATTCGTTGAAACAACAGCAACAGCAAAAGCCGAACACTACTGCACCTGTCAGTAGAGACAATGTTATTGTAATGAGTTCAACTAATCACCACCATCCAAATAGCAGTAATAATAATAAACAACAGCAAAAACAATATAAAAATAATAGAATGGCTGGTGTTCGACAGCAACAAACACCACCTCCTCCACTATTAGATCTGTCTGTTAAGCCACAGTTGATGTCCAATATCAATACGAAACAACAGAAACTTTTACCATCGCCTGCCATCACAAAAAGTAGTTTTAAACAACTGCAGCAGCAACGGAAAAGCCAGTCACCATTCCATTCTGTTTCTATGACCGTAACATCAACAGCCCCAGCTAATTTAGAAATTACGATTGTACCTGTCACTGCATCATCCACCTCTAGTTCTACGAAGCATATATCTCAGCAGCAGAAACGCAGCTTATCGACAACAGGAACTTATAATTCTATTAGTGGAACTGAAACTCAATCTTCAACATGTTTATCATTGACGAAAACAATCAAGCAACAGCCTCAGCGGCGGAATGCTACTGCTACCTCATCAGCAACAGTTTCGGCATCAGTTCTAGATTTGATGTGTGTTGGCAGAAATCGGAATCTACAACAGCAGCGAAATGGTAGAGGTGTATCGGTAACAACGACATCTTCACAACATCAACAAATACTCGAAATAGCTGCTTCTGCTGCGACTACAATTCCGTCTCAACATCAAAATGATAAGCGAAAGTCGCAACAAAATAAAAAAGATTAAATTGATTGAATTGTTGACTATATTTTTGCCATTAATCGCTGTGTTGAATAAGATAAATATCTAAATATATATATATATTAATCATGTATAACGTTAAGATAAAATGCATTATAGAATTTAGTGTACCTACCTATGTATTAAATTTGTATATGTATAATATAAATAACTGATGTATCTATTCTTTTTTTATTTTAATTTGAAATCTATGGCTTGTGTGTGCGTGTGCCAGTGTGTATGTTTGCAACCACAACAGTTACTTTAATTTTTATCAATATACAATGTATAATTCACAGAGATATAATATACTTGTAAAATATTGTATACTTAATTTAATAATATTATTAATAAAATTTAAAAAGGAAAAATTGATTTTACCATGATAATATTGGCATTACCTTTATTGTTTTCTCACCATTATATTGTGCAGTAACTTAACCATGTTAATATTATACCTATACCATTATTGTGTTACCATTTCCGTTGTAATATGTATAGGTATCTCTACACTCTTATTGTCAATAGTACTGGAGTCTAGAGGCCCATAGTATTTGAAATATGTAGTAGCTGTAAAAAAAAAAAAAAAAAAAAAACAGTTAAAAATGAAGTATAAGAAGTCTATTATAGTTGATTTATGATAAATATCAAGTAATAGGTGCAAATTGTATTTTTAATGTTAATAATGTTGAGACCCAGATAATGTCTACATTATAGCTACTTATAGAATAAAACGCTAAAATGTATTAAAATCCATAGTAGGTTTTAGAGATGCATATATGCCTCTTTAGTTCTTTTCAGTGTTCTATTTATTGTTATATTTATTATATTATAAATCATCAGTAAAATATAATAAAAGATTGTATTTTAGACATTTATTAGTATATTTTGTGCACATTTAAGTTCTACGAACTAAACCCGAGTTAAACTTTAGATTAACTCATAAGTTATGCTACGAAGATTCATTTTAACTCTCCGATTTTGGATACTTTTCACAATCGTGTAACTATTTAAATGATAACTACATTTTTTAACGGCTTTAGGACGTGTATTAGAAACCTAATGGTTATCATGAAAATATAAATTATCTTACTTATAATAAAAAACAACTACATTCATTGTATTGTGTAGTTATGGTTTTACTATAATTATATAGTATATTGAGAATTTATAAATAGCGTTTTTATAATAATTATTAAGAGCTAAATGAATCGATTACTCGACTGAAATTGTGTTATAATAATTTTTTAATTTATTATTAGGTACAACAAAAAACAAAAAGCAATAATTTTCGTGATTTTTGTCAAAATTTAATATTAAAATTTTCATATATTTATTTTTAAATGTGGCGTTTTCTTAAGTTAAGTAACTATTGTATATTTTTTGCATGGTATAAGAATAAATGCTTCAAAATTGGGTCGGCTTAAAAAATTTTTCAATCTGTGTCATATAAGATAAATATATTATTTTATTATTTATTTATTATATTAATATATTATCACACGATATTCGATATAATAGAAAAATATTACGGGCATTACAAAATTATATAATATTATCATATTCCGTGGAATTTATTTTTTATATTATTTTAAATATGTAAGATAAAACAGTCTAAAGTACTATACTGTCACACAGCATCTGAAAACTGATAAACACATCCGAGCTACTAATCGAAAAAATAAATCAAAATCTCAATAATTATTGCCCAATATATACTATTACAATGTTTCAAAATTAAACAAAAAAATTACAGTTCAATTATTTCAATAAGGTATTTAATATAATTTTTTGTTCATATTAATTATTTTATTAATTATGTACGTTTTTAAACTAAATACATTTAACTAACATGTATTTTTGTTTTTTATATTTTAATAAAAATCAGTGCATAAAATTTATAAGTTTTTAGTGCATATAATTTCAGGCTATAATTATTTATTTTTTATTTTATTAATAGAATAATTTGTATAATTATTATTTACACAATAAATTATAATAAAATTGTATTATATAATCTTACATATTATACAAGTAAAATATTATATATACTTATCAAACAGTTAATACAATTATAAAAAAATTTTAAAGAACCTGGTTTTTTTGAATCATCTTTTTCTGTAGTTGAACAAATGTACCTCAAATTTTTATTAACATTTTTTTTTAATATCCGCTATAACTTACAAATCTTAAAACAACAATATCCTATATTTGCTGGTGTCCTTCAAGGCAGTGATATTGCTCCTTTTTTATACACTATATATACGTCGGACCTGCCCACAACTGAAAATACATTAGTTGGAAAAAATGCTGATGATACAGCCCTATTATCAGTTTTTTCTGACCATACCACCCCATCTTATCAATTAAAAACTCATCTAAATATTATCTCACAGTGGTTCATCAACTAGAAAATAAAAATCAATAAATCCAAGTCCTCTTTTGTAACTTTCTCGTTCAGACCTTTAAACTGCTCAGTTGTAACAATCAACATCACCATTTCTCACTCAACAGAAGTAAAATATCTTGGTCTTACATTCGACAGACGCCTTACCTGATCTCTCCATCTTAAAGATAAGCGTAAAAAACTTAACTCCAGACTTCACCTGCTTCGTTCGAACCTTACTCTACCTATCAAAATTATTCTCTATAAAAATCTTCAACTAATATGGACATACGGTATAGTAATCTGGAGTCCCACTAAGAACTCAAATGAGAGAACTCTACAAGCTTTTCAAAACATCACTCTTCGCTTAATCACTGGTGCACCCTGGTTCGTTTCGAATGAGACCCTAAACTCTGACCTCAAATTACCTTCCATCGACGATACAGTTGCTTCCACGCTAAACTTCAAGTTATTCCTAACCAATGAGTTATCTTCACTTCCAGGTAATCCAATCAGACACCTCAAGAGGAAATGGTGCCGTAATTTGATAACTTAAGTAAATACTTATAAATGTAAGAGGTGTCACAAATGTGTGATTCCTTCATCATGTACTTATTCCTGTTAATTATCTGTAAACTTATTATTATTAATTATTGTACTATGCATAGATTGTAATTCTTCAAATAAAGTCAATTTTTTTTTTTTAAAAAAAAAAAAAACATTTTTTTAAATTACGACCACATTAACGTTAGGGACTCATGTGCAGTGCCATATTTAGACATTTTGCGTCCCGGCGAAAAAAAAAATGGTGCCCCTCTAAGGGGACAGATATAGGAGACAGATCCTCATGAACCTTTTAAATATTCTAAAATCAATGATATTTTTGTGTAGTATGCACGCCGCACGCGATAACAATAAATTTGGGAACTAATATTAGGTATATTAATAATATTCTATATCGCTGATAGCAATATTGCTAAAAATACATTAATAATATATATTAATAAATTAAATACATTAACATTAATTTATGATACTATTATTAAAAACAAAAATAATAATAATTTTAAAATAATTTTAAAAGTTCAATAATTCACAAGTGAATAAATTTCCGACCACAAAATGTTGGCGCCCGGGGCAGTTGTAGCCAGGTTAGCCTACCCCTCCCCCTAAATACAGCCCTGCTCGTGCATCGAGAAATTTCTCATCTGCTTTCCGCCCCTGTAGTATTATTAATAAATATAATTTCTTACTCTTATCTTAATTTGTTATAACACATTTTTTTTCACAACTTAACGGCTCTAATAAAATATACTAGTATAATATCGATAAACATATATACATATATATATGTATATATCGATTAACATGGATCATTCATTTATGGAAAGAAAAGAATCACATTTGTTAACAAAATTTCTAAATTATACCACTAAAATATTAGTAAAAACAGATGGATGAATTATTGACCAAGTTTATTTTAATATGTATGAACCACGATTAAAGATAAGATGGTTACTCAACGAGCTATAACTTGGTGTTGCCCGTAATTTCTTTTAACCACAGAACTGAAGTATAGCGATCCATGTGGTGAATTTGTGCAAAAAATCGTATGTCTGTGATAATACCACAGGCAATAATAATCATAGATAATAATATGTATGGTAATAATAAACAATATTCATTTAAATTAAAATATCATAAGGATTTTCAAAATAGTTTTTGAAATCTTCTTTTTTAACACTTATTCCCAGTTCTTTCCATAAAGTACGGTTAGTAGTTGCCCCGTCACTAGTCAAGCCAACAACTTTTGCTCCTGCATTTTCCAGCAATATTATAGTTTTAATAACAATTTTTGCAAGATCTAAACCTAACACCAAAAATTATTAAACAACTAATAATGAAATATATTATTATTTTGAATTTCTTTTATTAATGTAACTAATAATTTATTGATGCCTTTTATTGGACCTTTTGATGCAAAAACAGCTATGGGTTGGGTAAAATTATCAGCTGAACTTTACCACATTAGAACCAACCCATGGTTGACTTTTTCAGAGCTATTTATTTTATTTTCTATTTTATTACCATAGTCTTCTAGCCCAGTATATGTTAAAGTACGACTGTTACCTAACACTTATACTCTCTCTTAAGAAAACTTCATCAAATAACAGAACACCTATTTTCTGTTTTTCAGTTTTGATAATGAACTTTTTTTTTAATAGTTTGAAAAAATTCAAGTCAAAACCACAACCAACTTGAACAGCTAAAAAATTTCTTCGAACTGTGTTTACCCATGGCAATGGAAGTATGTTATTATCCCTTAAAAATTTATAACCACTGGGAGATCTAAATTAAATAGCATAAAAGAAGGAAAAAATATAATCATAATAATGTTTTGTTATGAGCTTAGTAGCTAGTTCTTACCTAATTTGATAAAGAAGACACAAAAGTGTCCAGTTTCACTCTATCTTCTATTTTTAATATTTTTAAATTTGGATGTTGCAAATATCTCATGTATAAGTTCAGATTGACTCTTGGGAATTGTATGATTTTCTAATAATTTAGATAAAGTTGAATTACTCATTTCATTCATTTGTTTTCTGTAGTTATTTAAATTTTGCTGTAATGTTAGTATTTTTTTACGTGCTCTAGAACATTTTTGTACAACCATTTTCTTGGCTTTTTCAATATTTTTAATTTTTTTTTTTTATTTGAGGAATAGTATGTTCTTGAACTTATTCTTTTTGAACTCTTGTACATTTTTTTTTTTTTTACACTGTATAATAGTCGCTTGCACCATAAACAAGAAGAATCACTAAATATTAAATCATTTTTATAATAAAAATTAATAATTCAATTATAACGTTTCATGTTATGAATTGGTAGAATAGATAAATTTATCTTTTATCTTTAGGTAGCACTTTCAAGCATTTTTCATGGAACCAATTACCATATGTGAAACATATTGCTTACCAAAATATGTTTTGTAGGCAGTAATATCATTTGCTGATATTGATCCATTACAAATCCTAGTTTTATTAAATATATCTAAAACTAATTCTAAGTCTTCTTTGCTTTTTAACAAAGAATTAGAAGAACCAATATCTGCAACTGATATTTCTCGGCCATAAATATGTGAAATAATACTTAAATCTGTAAAATTAAATAAAATTATACATTAAATACTTGCAGTGTATTTTAAATAATTAAATATAATAATTTACTAACCTTCTAAAGCCTTGTCCAGACTCCCACGTATCAATAATATCATTTCTATTAAAATGTGATCCGCAAACTCTAAATTGTTTTTTTAATTTTATACCTAGAATAAACTCCCATTCTTCCCATTCACTTTTAGGTACAATAAAAGAAGATTTGTGTTGATTAACACAACTCGGTACACAACACTTCATTTTAGTTAATTGGGTAAAGGTGCGTAATTATAAATGTATAATTATTAAAAAATTATATTCAAAAACATAAAAAAAAAACGCAAAAGACTAAAGTTTAATATGCTTAATCATGATTTAAACCATGGTAAATTGGAGGGAAATTAATACCCATCTTTACCACTTGGAACACTAATACTCAATTCATATCAACAGAAATTGTTAAGAATATTTCAGAAGCATACATTTTATTAATATTACGGCTCGTTGAGTAATCATCTTATCTTTAATCGTGGTATGAACCAAGGTGGATATATATGGTGGACCAGCTAACACCTTCCCATCTGTTTAGAGAGGTACGTCGTATTTACTACTGATGATAATCTCAACAGAGTGCGCTGTTTGCAATAGGTGTCCTGTTTTTATCATCACCAGCCGGTGAATGCATTTTATTTTTTTTTGATTATTATTTATTAACGGCTTTCGATGTACTTAAAATGAGTAAAAACTACAAATGTTTTGTTTCTGGTTGTGATGTTTGGAATAATAAACATAGTAAGGAACATATAGCTTTGATTCCCAATGTTAAGTATCCATCACTTTTTACAGCTCCTAAAAATGATGTAAATATATAAATATATATAATATGTAAAAGTATAATATTAAACGAAACATGCTAATTAAAATATATAGGTTTTACTTGATGAATGGAGTAAATGTATTCCCAGAGCAAACCGCCCTTTAAGTCGGACTGATAGAGTGTGTGAACAGCATTTTTTACAAACTTTTGTCATAAGACATTTTGATCTTACTGGACCTTATGGGGTAAAATAATTATTAGAAAGAGAAAGACCTATATTAACATCTACAGCTGTAACTAGTATATTTCCTAATCTACCTAAATATTTAACAAAAACTATCACCAAACGCAAAGCACCAACAGTAAGAAATGTTTTACCAAAAAAAGTTCAAAAAACGTAAGTAAATATTTGTCGAAATGTTCAGGAGGTATGTATTCAATATTATTAAATTGTTTCTATATCTCAAACAGAGCTGCAACAAACGTATAATAAATGCTTATTGTTTATGCCTGAAAATACTTCACAAAGTAATAAATTAACAACTAAAATTGTTTTGCTTGTAGAAATACTAAATACTTTGTAAATATTATAACACATGCAGATATTCTATTGCATGAAAATTCTTCTTCGCTTTTCCCTATTATTTCCTCTATAAATAATATAGGTTATGACATCAATAGAGATGCAAAGAATGAAATTACCAGGTACAATGTAGGGCATTCATTACAATATTATATAATCTCAAATCTAAGTATTTTTTTTCTATAACCTAGTTACTTACAACTTTAATTTTCGGTTAGTTTCTTTTGTACTTATTCTCTTTAATTATAGAATTTTTAATTATTTTCTGTTATTTTAAAATTTTTGTAAATTGCTGTTTGGCGTCAATAAAATGAAATAATGTTTAAATTACTTAGTTTCTATATTATTATTCATTTGTTACATGGGACACCAACTGATAACAGCGCGCTCTAGTGGTGAAAATAGCTGAAGTGATTTATAGAGCTGTACGTAGAATTTAAGAATCAACAAGTATAAGAGAAAATCTGTCTGCAATAATATTTACACATAACCATAATCCTTATTTAGGTATATTATGGTATAATAGTCTATTGGTACTTTAATTAAATACGATAATTCAAAATGATAAATATGTATGTTTATTTAAAAGGTGATTGGTTTAATGCAAGATAATAGATAATGTAAATACATTATGAATGTCTCATATTGAAAATATCATCCATATATAGATAACCAAAGACTGATTAATACAACAATGAACAAAAATACAATAATAAAATAGCAAATATGACGCATACATTTCATTATCTAATCAATATTTATATTAAGAGAATACAAGAATGAACGCTACGTTACATACATACACACATCACAATATGATAATTTACATAAATATATGATAAGTTTTTTATTTACACACATCAAAAAATATATACAAAATTATAATAAATGTAGTAATAATAATAGTTTATGTGTAAATAAAAATGATAACTAAAAAAAATTGTTTACAACACATTATGTAAACAAAGTTATACAAAGTTTAGAACTATAAGATAGAATAATAATGATAACTAAAAAGAATGTTTACAACACATTATGTAATTAAGGTTATACAAAGTTTTAGGATTATATTATAATAATAAAAGACAACAATGATCATTAACTGCTGTATATAGATTATTATCAAAACTTCTAATCTAAGTCAAATTATGTACATCATTTAATAACACAACCACAATTATTGTGGTTTTTACGGTAGTTATAATGCATCCCTATGCCACACCCATTTTTTGTTTGTGTGGTCAAATCTGTGAGCCAACCATTGGCGTTCCAGCAACTTGTACCGTTCTACACTTAAGTATAATGGTTTTCCACGTCTGTTTTATTGCAAAAAATGAATAAATAAATTTATGATTCAATATGCTTATTAATACACTAAACATTTTTAAATATTTACTTTAGTTCACGGTCTTCTTCACCAAAGGTATCCAAATACACGGATCCCCAAAGACATGCTCGTTTGCCACGAATCACTACCACTGAACTGGAAGTTACAACCAAGAACATGCCTGTACCACCACCACATTCCAACGAGTGCTAAAATAAAACCAAGTAAAGATTTATGAATATATAATAACTCATGATTAAATACAATTACAGTAAAAATATAAAAGAAAACAATTATAAATAACAGGATATGTATAACAATAATTATAAAATAATTACAGAAATGAAAGTAAAAAACGACCAAAATCTTCAACTGTCATGTAATGTAAGAAATGTATGAAATAGTAAAAATAGTCGAAATTCTACATAAACAAAGAGACAATAAAAAAATTGAAACTGAATAACTGAATAAACTGAAGTCCTGAATAACCTTGATTAAATGTTCACAAAAATCATTAAAAATAATTGAACTGATCAAAATAAAAAAATTAAAATTATAGGAAGACAATAAACTATAATAACCTATAAATATTTAACCAGATAAAAATACATACTTGCACAGCTTCAAAAATGCCATTAGTTTTGCAACAGTTTTCTTTCAGGCATACCACAGTACCACATATTAGACACAGACTACTCTCACGTGGTACGCCATGGCACCGATGACACGGTCGACCATGATAATACTGGAACACATCATCATAACAATGTGGCAACTTTAGTAGTCTAGGGCCCGTCCACTTTACTGTTGGTAACAAACGGAGGCCACGGTCTGAATTACTATCGTTAATTTCACTAGTATTATGGTAATATTTAGAGAGACCACCATCACAGCAATCTACAGCAAGTAATAAACGAGCAGCCATCATAATATTGGCGCTTGAATTTGGGTCCATTTCTAAAGATGCAGGTGAAACATTTGTATTTTCACATATGATAGTGGCTCTAGGAATACTGGGTGTTAACGCTTGACGAAATGATGTCAACCAAGCCCGAGAAATAGTAGTCGAAATATTATCACTGGTATCAGAAGTAGAATACGACCATTTTGGCCAAATAACTGCTTCCATAGCGGACGGTGGCTGAAATGTTATACATGGTTTGATATCTTCATGGTTAGGGCTGTAATCTTTGTTATTTTTACAAGAATTAGAATTATCAATCTCTTTACAATTAGCACAGTCTTCATAGGTTTCCTCGTCGTAATTTAATAGTTTTAAATAACAAGCAAGTGTAAAATATTCATAATCGTCACGTGACCATTGATGGCAACGAGAATTATTTATATACGCACGTTCATTAGCACATGATGGAGTATTCTTTAGTAACTCATTTTGTCTGTCATGTTCTACATTTGAATTACTCTGTTGTTGCGACGATGATAATGTTGACGAATCTTGAATTTCATCAAGATTATCTTCATCATCTTCATTTATATACTTTTTCAACAGTGTAGCGAATCGTAAAAATGGTAGAGTACATTGCCTTCCATATGATTCTAGAAGCATTATATTTTGTTCATCTTCTGAATCAACAATTGGGACATCAAGTATATCGTCAGTATCATTATCTTCATGATGCATTTTGAATTCTTCATCGTCATTAGCCAATATGTCAACATCTACATTGACCACATTTTCATCATCTTGTGAAGAAAATACTAAGTTTTTTGCTAAAGCTACAGCTTGCAAAAACGTAGGTGACCGCAATGACAATAGTAGTGACGTATCGTCACCTTCGGCCATGTCCACAGATGATAAAAATGGCGGTACATCAACTTTGCCATCATCTATATCCATTGGATCACCACTGCTGCCTGTTTCTTCAGTCTTCAATATAGTTTTACTTGTTTTGTAACGATCATGAGGACGACAACGATTGTAAGTATTGCGGTTTAAATTACAGTTTTGTTTCCATGTTATAGCAACTTTCAACGCGGCCACGTATAGTTGCATGTTATATGTAAGTTTGACCAAAGCATCAAACAAATCTATATGAATAGTAAAAAAATAAATTTATTTTGATATATTATAGGAATTATGATTTGTATGTATAGTAATGTTTACATACTTAGAAAGTAGAATAAAAATTAGAGAAATAAATGTATCTTACCATGGTCTAAGTTGGGTATCAACATTGAGAGTTGTAAAAGCACGATACTTGGATCTCGCATTAATAGTGGTGGATGGGTCATTTTATATTGTGCTTGAGAACGTTCAGCTCCGATCAACTTGCACCAAACATCATTGATTGTATTGTAAGTAGTTGTATGGTATTTTGACATCAAAGATTGAGCACTCACACGTAACACATTTAACAATGGAGCTACAAAAACACAAATAAAATAGTTTATTATAAGTAAACTACAGTATAAAAATTATATTATATACTTATCAACTACATTAACTTCTAAATGGATATTATACATTTATACATCAGTTAATATTTGTAAGTAAAACCGTATACTTTGTATAAAATAAGTAACAGTAGTGAATATTTGAAGTTATATCAGTTGTGTAGCATGGATTTTGAGAAAAGATCAAACAATTTTACAAGTCCAATGTCTACCAAATTTTTACCTATAACTTTTTTAAACTCAAACCTAAGTTTAATTTTTAATAACTGAAGCATAAATTATGTATACATAAATAAACTGTGTGGTAATGTGATATATTCAAAATCATATGTGCTTACAAATAGTGCATAAATATAAGGCCCTTACTAAGACTTTGAATGTATATTGCATCTATAAGCTCTCGTATACTGTTTCAAATCATGTTACACGATAGCACGATGCTCAAATACCAAGTATATTAAAATTAAAATACATTTTCCATCATCAAAAGCAACATCAACAATCACCACATTGTCGTGTTTGTCAATATATTATTATCTTATATTCTTAAATATATTTACTGTCTTTATCATTATTAATAAAAGTTAAAAAATATTTATTTTGAATTATATTAAATGTTTTCAAATAGATTATTTATTTTCTTTAAGCAAAAATATACGCACCAATACAATTGCGCTTCGGCAACATATTGTAATAATTATTGCTACCACTTTTATCTGTATTGGTCATAGCATATCTTTGGTGACGATAACATGAACTACCATGTTGCAATGACCATGATTCCTTCTCTTGTGTTAGTAGAGTGTTATTACGTTGCACTAGTTCCACATGGATATTCGTCCATGCTACAGACACGACACTATGCCATCTGACCTTGTACAATTTTTCTCTTTGAGCAGGAGTTAATAAATTTGGTGGTGTTGAAAATGTATGTGCAGCAGCAGTTATAACTGTGGTAGATATCATATCGCTTACACATCTATTTATAGCATCCAACAAAGAATCTTCTCCACATTCTAATTCAACTCCAAAGCAACCTTCTTCTCTAGGAGGAGGAGACCGTATATGGTTCTGTTTACAAAAACATATAAAAATGATAATTGCTTAACTTCTACTGCAGTTTTTATTTCAATACAGTCTTAAGATTTCCAATACTAACCTGTATAACTTGACTCCTATCTTGCGAAAAACGGAATTGAATATGTTCATGCAGTGAATATGTATGTTTAACAATAGCAGCTTGATTGCTTGGAGTGATAGCAGAACTAGATGATTCACCAATACTTACATTACTACTAGGTGGTGTTACATTTATAATATCTGTCAATCGATTTAAAGCATCAGTCAAAGCAATATATTTATTCATAGGATTAGAAGTGGCAACACCATATTGCTTTTGTTCTGAGTCACTAGTAGGTGGAATTAACGGCATTATAGAATTTGCTAATTGTCGACAAAGTGGACAACTATATTCTCCTCTGTAATAATAATTAAACAGTTTTATAATGATATAAAAATACAAATAAAATCACATGTTGACAACACGAGTATGCATGTAAGCTATTTATGAACTTGTATATAATATCATACAATTACTAACTTATCAGAATTAAACCGCTGAGCACCACGCAGGGAGGTTAGATATGAACTCCAACATCTCAAATGTAAGTGGTGACCACACGTCTGTACATGAGCACTACCACCGATGGGAACAGCACTAGTTGTGGTTGTTAGAGCTCCGATTTCCAAATCACCCTTATCTAAATTCTATAAGATAAATAATAAAACATCACAACAGGTAATTAAAAAATATAATAGTAAAAATAAAATAATAATTATAAATAATACCAATTCTCTGAAAACTGAATACTTTTGAAATAATTTATTATTTTAAATACTTGAATATACCTTTAATGTGAGGCAAAACTATTAGAAAAAACAAACTTACATTGAAATACTGCAATAGAAGATGTTTGCGGCGGTCTGAATGTGACGCATAAGTAGTTGTATCATCATCATCACTAACTGTAGTGACTATAGGTTGATGTTGCTGTAAATCGGAACTATCATCTTCAGATGTGGATTGCTGATGTACTTGTTTTGATGGTAATGGCGGCAAAGAAGGCCAATAACGACTGATATTTAATTCATCTTCATCCACAAGGTTATTTTCCTCAAAACTACTGTTGGTATCTATTTCTATCTGTTTTTGAGATAACTGATTAGGATCAGTAACATTAATGCTGATGTTATTTTGATTAATTAATGACACTGTAGATGAAATGTGTCTCCTGTGGGCCAATACATTTGTACCCTATAAAGCAATAATAATATGTATTATGTATTATACTATAGATAAGCTTTTTTTATGGGCTTTATTAAAATATATAATCATTTCATGCGTGACTCAAAGATAAAAGTAAAAAGACATTTGCCTGTTACTCTTAATACTCATACACAAATATTGTAGGATCTATTATGGAATTTACAAAACAATTTAAAGTAAAATAAATGTAATAAAACTTACAAAAAAAGATAAAAATTCTCTATTACGAGTAAAATAATATTTTTAATACTATATGTATTTATTCACGATTATCTTTTTTTTAGGAGCTTAACACAACATTAATGTATTAATTCCAATTATAAAATTTTTATTAAAATTATTCTTAAACAATTCAAATTATATCCAATAAATTAAATTTTTACACAAAATTTAATTACCCAAACATAATAACTTTTAATAAAAATTATGTAAGTTAATATTTTTTCTGTACTTATTTTATGTTAAATCTTTATGAATTTCAAGTATTTTTACTAAATCATAACATAACTAATTCACATATTTAATATACAAGTTAGTTTAATAATAATTATACATGATCAAATACATTATTAACTGTTGTTAATTAATTTGGAAACTTATAATATTTCATTCTTGTTAAATAATGTATATGAACTTGGCTCATTAACATACTTTCTTTTGATTATTATTGCAAGTTTAATTATTAATTTATAAATTTTAACTTTTATTAAATTTATTGCAATAAACCATTAAAATTTTTAAAACATGAGTAAATTATAATTGTGAAAAATTAGAAATTATCATTTTAATAAAAATTACGTACTTGAACTAGTATCACTAATCCAACCGGATCTTCACGCTGTTGTTCAGCTTGTACGACCACAGTTTGATTACAAATAATGCAATCTACTGTAAGTGTTTTTGATGAATTTGTAGGATGAACCCCTGTTTCCTTAGTTTCACAACTATTATTTTGTTCCTTGTCGATAATTGTATCTGATAAAGATGAGGTGTTTGTATTACTACTACCAGTGGTTGAAGTAGAAGTTTGAACTCCAGTGACTGGTTCATCATATAATAAAGATGTAGAGTCAGAAGAATTTGCACTCTCTGACACACGGAGTCTATCCAAGAATCTACGTTGCTCTTTTTCTATTTCTTCCATCATTTGTTGCTTTCTCTCACGAGCACGACGTTTACGTTCTTGTTGTTCACGTTCCTCATCTTCCCGAGTAGCTGTTTCCTGCATCACAACAGCTTTTGGCCATAATAACAGCCGATGATGAACAATACATTGATAACATGATGATGACCCCTTAGCCAACCGGTCCAATAAACGACCTACATAGAATGCTCCATCTCCACATTGGAAATAATTATTAGCTTCTGGGAATAATTGATTTGGAGGAATTGATTCATCTGTTTCAGAAGATGTGAGCAGTGGTGGATGATAGGAATCTGATTTACCAGACAATTGAGAATGTAATTTCAATAGCAATGAAATTATACTCTCATTAATGGGTACCAATGGATTTTGTTTATCATCCTCACTGGTTTCCGGTGCTAACTGTTCGTCGAATAAAAAACGGATTATTAGTCAATAAAACCAAATACAAATATTTGTTACTTACATTTTCATTACTTTCTAATATATCTGCTGATGTTTCAGTAGAATTGTCGTTTTCATAATTAGGTGGAAATACACGTAGTAATCGCCGTTTAACTGGATTCACTGTAATAAAAAATTAAAAATTGTGAAATATTTGTAAAAATAAAAAAACATTTATAATATTTAAAATATAATCAAATATTAATATTTATATAACATCAAAAATTACTAATTAAATAAGTATATGAAAAAATCGAATAATAAGAATTTCTTACAGTTTCCTAAGTTATGAGAGCTTGAGTTAGGTGTCAAGATATCAAATATATTTGTTGCTAATGTTGAAGCTGTTGATGTATTACTAGTTGGTGGGATAGTATTTTCAGATCCAGGACCAAAAAAATAATGAAAATATGGTGGCGGCAACTCAAAATCCGTAATAGTCGTACAGAGATTCTCTACCAAATCATCACTATTGAACCAACGATCCAATAGAAGAGGTTTTGCATCTTGTTTCTTGCTCAAGTTTTTACTTTTGTCATTTTCACAGCATGCATGGCTAGCGTCTGCTTCTGTAATTTTGATTCGTTTTGTTGGACATAATTTTTCAACTGTATCAGTTTTTGGAGGTTCATGAGAATATTCTTTAGATGATGTTGGTAAAGAAGACGCAGTTGACAAATCCAAATCCATGGGCGGTTGTTGTTGATTAGATGAATTTTTTTCATTTATAGAAGAGTCAATATAACAAGTCCAAGCTAGATCAAGAAGATAAATCAACAAGCTGAGTGCGTGTTCACCAACATCTTTAAAAACAGCTGTACGATACAGGCAATGCCAAGCAACTCCATGAAATAATCTAGATAATAAGACTCTACAAGGATCTTGATAAGCTGGATGGTGTTTTTGTGGTTTCTTATATGGTGGCCAAGGAGTTTCATTCTGTTTCAGAAGTCCAACAGAGCGCATGCTATAAATAAGTTAAAACCAAATAATTAAATTATATAATTAATATAATAAAGTCTTTGAACATACTATGCTGTGTAACGATCTAACGCTGATTGAAAGTCACGTCTATGAACAGCTCTCAAAAGTATATGTACAGGATCGTATAAGTTACGCCAAACATGAGGTAGAGGTACATACAATCCTTGCTGCATATTACCTGATGCTTCAAATTGAGGCCTCTTATACTCAGCAACCTTTGAATGTTTATAAAACAATTTATATATATACGATTCATTCTAGACAAAAAAAATGATTAATATTTTACTTACAGTTTGTAATACAGTTTCAAAATCTCGTGGCCCTTGATTGTCATCTCTGTCCCTAATAGTGGTAGAGGCAGTAACAGTAGTAATTTGTGTACCGCCACCACAACGCTCAGGCATTAGTTCCATTAGTTGACTATGAGTTTTATCCGAGACACATAGCAATGTTACCATTTCTAGTTGGGACTGACAATAATCATAATCTTCATCAGAACCTAAAAAAAAATCCAAGGTTTTTTAATTAAAAATTAATATTAATAACACATATATTTAATAATAATAACTCACATAAATTAGTTCGGACACCCACTAATGTTGCCAAAAATACCAATAGGCCTTCTATGGTAGATGTATCAAATTCGACATTATCCATTATCTGAGGTAATCCACCATGTTTTATTACATGAAGCCAATCATATACTTTAAACCTACAACAACGATGATATAAACAAAACAAAATTAATATATTTTCTTAAAATAGATAATTACTTTTCTAATATTAAAGACATAAATATGTTGGCATCTGACAATTCAGATAGACAAAATTGAAGTAAATATATATCAGCATCAACCATTGATATACAGAAGTTTGATTGTATATATGTCATAGCTTGGCCTTTAATTTGTAAGCCGTTGCGAATCCATGCACCTTGCATGATTTCATAAAATGCTGCTTGAGCGCGAACGGGATGTACAGCAATGGCCAGTAATAATGCATCTCTATCAGGTGTATCACTTGTACTGATGTACGGGATAATATCCTCAATTCGAGCGCCTTGCGCTCGCACGGCTTGGCACACAAAAACTGCCAAATACCGATGCAAAGGCAGATGAAAAGTGAACTGATTGAGATCATCTGATCGTCGAATAATAGCTGTAGTACTATGGGTACCAATATTATATTCAGCTAAAGATGATGCATTACCACCACAAAGTTCACCTGCACACTGATTATTAAAGTAACCTACATCTTTAAGCCATTTACGTAAGCGTTTTAGACAAGCATGTATCACGCTTGAAGCCAATGGCCAAGTATCAATGGATGTGAGATGCGATAACATAGCCCACATGGGATATGCGCTAGCTTCGAGCTCAGCACTAAAAGCAGCATAATAAGTGTTAGGTTCAAATTCGACATGATGCCCCAATTCTCGACAATTGACATTCATTCCTGAAAATATTATAATTTTTAATATTTTTGTACAAGTGGTCATTAAGGATCAATTAATATAGAAAGAATAATGAAAAATACCTTGAAACATAGACAAATATGAGAACCAAGAATCCAATAAACGTTTATCACTCATAAACTTAATAGCAATAGGTCTATGAGACAATACATTATTCAGATCACTGACTAATGGCCAATAACAGTGTTCTTTCATAACAGCCTTTGAGCAATCTACAACCTTGTGTTTATTTTTTGTAGCATCTAATATAAAAAATAAAATAAATAATAGCAGATTTAATATAATAAATAAATGCAATTAACTCAAACCAGATTTTTATAACTAAAATGTCCATCATTAAACATCAAATATCTTACCATGTAGTGTAGATGGTATTAATATTTTTGTCATCATACGCCGTAAGCTTGATACCATTACTCTAAGCAAACCCAATTTGTCAACCATTCGCGTAGCTAATGCCTCATTACTAAACAATTGAACACTTATATGAACAATATGGTTAGAAAGGGTGTCTGAATCTTGTGTTGTTGCCAACACTCGGGCTACACATCCATAGTGCATAACAAATGCTTCAGTCAAAGCTTCTTTATAAGATGCATCAGGTAATAAGTTTAATAACAAGCACACCATCTTTTGAGGAAACTCATATCGTACAGTCCAAAAAACAATTTCTTGCAAAAAACTAGAATGATTCAGTTTATTTTTTTGACTGCTATTACCATCTGAAATATTATTTACAATTATCATTAATATTTTCTTACAGAAAAAATATTCTAAATAAAAATTAAAAAAAAAATGTAACATTATAATAGATAATAGTAATAAACACTAAATTAAATATATATATAATTATCAAAAAATGTTATAGATTTAACTTAATTTATAATTGTAAGAGTTAAAATAATTAATTATGAAAATATTATAATTTTATTTTATTTGATTAAGAATCAATAAAATATTGAATATTTACACACAGTGTGCTAAATATCTACATATTCTTTAAAAAAAAAAAAAAATAGAGTAAATAAATAATTATAAATAATTGATCGAAAGTTTTCTTATTAATGGAAAATAAATAAACATAAATTATACAAGACATGAATTTATGCATTAAATAATTCTTAAATATTCATGTAATAAGGTAAATCATCTTTTTTAAGTATTTGAATATATTCTTTTAAAGAAATTTTTTTTTATGCCATATAATAATAGTTTGGAGCAATACAGTGCAGTAGTCACACATCTGGTTAAAATGCATGCAGTCATCAGTTCAAACCCTTTAGTGCAAAAAACATTCTGTAGTATTTCTTCTCCGCTATTGCTATAGTTACTCTAAATTGTTCCCCCTCAAACCAACTTCACTGAGAGTGAAGTCCACACATGATAATTTTCTACTTAGAGAAGGGAGTTTTAAATTCATGAGCTTTTAATTTTAATATTTGAGGCTTAAAAATCAATACTTAAAAATATACTTCACAAATTTTCTTTATAGTAAATAAAAAGAAAGTTTCTCAGAAGTTTTCTATGGTGTGAAAATGTAATTTTGTTATAATCTGATACTTCTACGAATTTCAAATAAACAATATTATTTTCGTCTAAAAATATCAACTCTCTACAGACCTGAAATATAAACCATATGCTTTATGCTATATAAGCATTATACACAAATAATAATAATAAATATAATTCTTAACATTCAATTTATAATAAAAAAATCTTGATGTTAAACTAATATGCAATTTGTTGTTGTAAAAATTAGTTTTACCAACCAAATTACAAAATGATTAGTTACTTACACTAATATTTTATTTTATTTTAAAATATACATTGTCTGAGCCCTTTTAATACAAATGTATTAATTAAAATAAAGTTATTTTAACTAACTTTAGACATAGATACTGATCCACCAGTCTTCCTTTATCTTTCCCATTTTTTATACTTAAATGCATCAAATATTTTAAAATAAAAAAATATAAAATACTTCCTAAAAGTAAATTTAAGTAAAATATATTATTATACAATTATATTGAATAAACATATCCATAAAATTACCTATATCCTTGTATGTAATGAGATAATATATATTTTAACATTTCATTTAAAATAATCTAATTTACCTTGATCTAAGTCATCATCGTCATCATCTTCTTCAGAATTACTTTGGATACCTTTAGAACCCATAGCAACATCTCCACTACTAACATCAGTTGTATTACTATGGCGTCGCCTACGATTATTCGATGATGTTGATTGAGAATATTGGTTTATAGCATCATTATAATAACGACGCACTTTATTCGTGTATATGGAATAAATAGTCTGTCCTTGCTCCTGCTGTTGTTGTTCTTGTAGACAAGAATCTTGGTTAACAATACTAGCAGTGCTATTAGTGTAATACTCACATGCCCATTGGTAAATCTATAAAAGAAAATAACATTTCTACATGCCAACAAAGTTAGAAAATTTTCAATAAGTGTACCTTTTCACTAGTAAGAGACACAGTCATTACACGTCTCATAGCAGCTCCCAAAGCACTAAGATCATGCAGCATAGCTAAAAATGGATCCAAATCTCCTCCAAGTAATAAATTTTGCTGATCTCTTCCCATTCCACTTAAAGATATCTGTTGTGAGGGTGATCTAGTATCGGGAAGTTTACTAAAAATTATATATTAATAACAATAATTAGTATTATATTACATTTTTCAGTATAATATAAATAATACCTGTTTTCACGTAAGTATTGAACCAGTCTTAACATTAATCTCGGCATTATTCTCTCGGCTACTCTTAACAAATCAGCAGGAGGTTGTTTACAACCACTAGTACTACCATCCAAATTATTTGTACTATGTTTACGGCAAAACCTAAAAAAAAAAAATAATGTTTTAAATATATTTACACATATAAATCAACAAATATCATTAATTTAGGTATGTACTTTGAATAAATGTCATTGAAATTATATATATATATAAATTAATTGGATTAATCCATCTATATATTTAAATTAGTAACCAAGAAAACTTTAAAATGAATTTAGGATTGGTATTTTCTATACAATTAAGTTTAAGCTTCGATTTAATATTAATCAAATAAAATAACCTAAGGTTCTTTTATTTTATTTTTCCTTCACAAAATTCTTTCAACAAATATGTACCTATATTAAAAATAATTGAATAACATAAAAATATGAAATTTAATTTGAATTATATTTTGATATCAACACTTAATAATAATAATTCAATAAATTAAAATTATTGAATAAGCAATTATAAGTTAGAACTGTTTAAGAATTAATGTTATACAATAATGAATGAGATTTTAGCTTTTTTATACATATATGATTTTTTTAACAAAAGCTGAAATTTATATTTAAAATGACTTATCAATATGCTTATAAACTATTATTCATTATTAATTAACTATAAATAATTAAGTAAATTATAAATTTGAAATTAAAGAAATATCAATGTATATTTTGTGTATTACCCATCAGGCTTCATAACACTTGTATCTCCACAATCACATGCACCACCTGCTTGAGAACGAAACATATTGAAATCATGACCAGTATGATCACCACGTTTGAAACAATCTCCGCAGAGAGACATGCAAGGAGATATACTACAAGTCCGACATCTGTATGCCACATAATTAGCTGTCCATACAAGTCCACAACATGTTCCATAATCATATCCTTTAACTAAAGAAAAAATTATTGTTTAATAAAAAGGATAAACTTTGTAAAATTTAGTGGTTACATATGTAAGTGATGTATGCTAATTTATATAAATTTTTAATTAAAATATTGATTATTTTACAATTCTTTTTATCATTGTTATTCATTATCATTTTCATGATTAAATTAATTAATACCAATATAAAATTCTATACACATACCTACTATGATTACTATTTCTTCAGAAAAAAACAAATTACTGTTTAGACCTATGGCAGCTAAATATTATTTATATCAATTTTTCATGGTTTTACTTATAATATAATTATATGAAACTTGAAAGTGACTTTATTATTTAAGAATATAAATACTTTATTTGTATATAATTCAATTTTATTATTTAATTGAGTTAATCAGTATGTTAATTATATTTTAAAAACATATTATTAATACGTTCATATATTCATGTATTTTAGTAGTTCAGCCATGTAAACACTAATACAGTAATCACTCAATAATTCAAAAAAACTCTATTAATAAAATTATTAGCGCCCTGTGAAAACCTCTATAATTATATAGAATAACTAAATATCATATTATATTGAATGTTCATAACATATTTAAAATGAATGTTCAGCAGTAGCTAACCATTAAAATTATTTTTTAAATAAATGAACGATGATGATCACAGGTCATTAATACTGGGTGAACCTAACATTGTAAGTAACTATACATCATCATCAGCATTGAACATGTTAACTTTTATGGTATACATATTTAGAAATATAAAAGGTAAAGGAAAACCTTTAGTTTCCTTCAAATACTATTCCATCTATAAGATGAATCATCATTGATAAATTTGTATGATTTAAAACAATTTTAAAAACTTGAAATGAAATAATTACTTTTTGATTAATGAGTATTAAGTATAAAAGATATATTATTTAGTTGTTAAAATACGTAAATTTAATTTAATCCAATTCAAAGAGTAAAAATAATTAAATTTAATAGTTACCAGCACTACTGAATTCATCGAGGGTTTTACCACCAGCCATAAGCCAACGTATCCAGTCCAAATTGTTCCATTCGCCTATAGCATCATACGGATTAAGTAATACATCCAGTAAGTTGTCTAGTATCTTGCAACGAATCAAAGCAGCTTCTGCCTCATCATTATCACAATTATCCTGAGATTGTTGAGTAGTAGCAGCAGTGGCAGCAGCAGCAGCAGCAGCAGCAGCAATCATACAGCAATCAGCTGCAATGAATGCAGCTGCACCACGTTTGCCGCGTTTCATGAGTGAATAAGCAGTCGAATGCTCATGCCCAACAATACTAGTCGACACAGTATTCATTATCATAGTTTATTAAATACTAGACTAGGCAAGTTGAAAAAACCAATTTAGTTGGCGCTGAACAGCACTTCGATATTTCAAGGCGGCCAAGCACATTATACAGATCTTGTTTGGGTAATTCAGTGCTGTAATTGTATAGTATTGATATGCTCCTCCATATGTCAAACGTGTAAACGCGCGATCTCAATACAAAAATCCGCGAAGAACAATCAGTTAACTGATGTTGGTGTGCTGTTCAAATACAAATTAAACCGATGATGCATAAGTGTTCACAATATAATAAAGTATGAGCGCGTGCGCATACACAATAGCCGAAACGCTACACCCTAAACGAGAAGTTTATAATGCGATTAAATGGTGCTTACCACGGGGCGATAGTTTCATACACACGGCAAATGTTCGTGAAGAACACTGCGTGAAATGCAAACACTTGGCACGTAGGACACGAAGATGTTAATGCATACGGCGAAAAGCGAATCTATGACTACGATATCGAATGACGTACGTCCTTACGACGAAACAACTAACCCTCAAATCAATCGAAAGACAATTGAAAGCGCGATAAGGAAAACGTGACGTGAAAATTAAAAAAAACTAAACGAAATCATAACAAATTGAAATGAAATTGTATGTCGCGAGTACGATCGAACTGACGCGTAAACGTGCGAGTACAAAGACGGGCGCAAATGGAAAGAAAGAAGTACGGCGATAATATCACTTGTCGTTGTCGGGCACCGCCACCACTTCCACGCCTACATCAGTCGAACAAAAATCATCACGAGCAGCCCAAGCACTGCGCCGATGGTCGGGATAATGGGAGGAGGGTAGAAGACCGTACGTTCCGATGTATGTGATAACACGAAAGAGATACCACTGGATACTGACCATTACCACGACTGTAGTGTTGTCGATTAAACTGGTAGAATGTGTTTTTTATAACGGTACTGTGTTGGTGGAGGCAATAACACCGTGGGAGACACGGTGAGTTTTTCGTTCGTGCCAACGTAACATTATTAATGTTGCACGTCGTGCCTCACTGTGTGCCCCGTTGGTTCGACACACAAACATCTGTTGAGTGACCGTTCGGTTTTAGCCGTCGGCACCAAGTGACAGAGTCAGGCCCGGCGGAAGACATAGGCAACCACACAGGGCTACGACTGGGACGGCATTTCCTTGGCGGTAGGCAGGGTCGTGTTTAGCAAAATATGTTGCTACTTAAGCTAACGCAAAAACCAAAAACCGTTTTTGAAACACCGATGAGCAAAAAAGAAATTATTTGATAATTATATGTATATATTTTTAAATAATAAAAATAATAACTGATATTAAATAAATTTAGTTTTGGTTGGGATGGTTTATGTACAAGTTTTTATGTACAATGTATAATACACCAAAATCAAACTGAAGATAACTGAAAATGTTAACAATTGATTTTTATCCGAAATGACGTTCGTCAAACGTCGATAATAATAATATACTATATTAATATTTATTGTATAAATTATTTATTTTTGGCGCGGCGACATGGTCTATGCGTTGATGATTCATTTAGATTCATTATTATATCACTTTTAACATTTTTATGAAGAACCTTTATTTTTTTAAGGTTTAAATTTTAATAAAAATGTGGACTATTTAAATGTAATAAAAATAAAATTCTAATAATTTAATAATATTTATATGTAATTAATTAATTGTCTATAATTGAATAAAAACATTTTTTTTTTTTTTTGAGATCAAAAACAAAAGGACGGCAAAATTTGATTTTGCCTATGTATACATTTTGTCTTAATACCGGCCCTGGGCCAAGTATTGAATTCTCTTTTAAAATTACGAGTATATACGTAATTTATAAGTATATGTGTACAATTTAAATTACATTTATTTGATGTACGCACTAGTATATTATAAAATTTGTCGATTTAAATGTATTATTTTATTTATTATTTTGAAAAATGTAATACAATACTAATTATTATTATTGTATTATATATATTTAGTACACTTCCCGATACTAGAATACCCTTATAATAGGAATCTTTAGGTGGAATTGGTAGAGAACATCAAAGTGTATTACTTGGAGGAGATTTGGACCCATTTTTGGCTATGTTGTAAGTTCTTTGGGAGCTGCTACGAGACGTGTAATGACTGTATTTTTTACTAGTGAAAAATTAAATTTATTGAAAAATGTCCAATTATGTTAGCATGTAAAAATGATTTTTTCTCTTATAGATTTACCAATTGGCATGCGATTATTACTGCACTGCTATAGTATTGTTAACCAAAATGTTTGAATTCAAGAACCACATCAGCAACAAGTATCATATAATATTTTATGCATTTCAATATAAAACTGGGGTGTGATGGAGGATTTGGATGAGATTCTGAGTTAAAGGGGGTGGGTGGATCGGCATCTATGTTTAAAGATTCCCAGTGCGCAGGTCGGCTCTGTTTCGTCTGCAAATTAATGATTTTACGGATAGTGGGCGATATCTACAGCGCTGACTCAAATAAATACGTAATACACCGTGTTGTAGTGATTCAGAATGGGCTTGGATATTTCGTGGAATATTTTAGAAATATTAATTTCTTCAATACATATGATTGAACAAAAATCGAAATTTGTATAATATGTTGCTTTTTTTTTTTTACTTTTCATTAGTTTTTTGCAATTATTAAAAAAACTACCTATCGAGAATTTCGTAAAATGGGAGTCCTTTTATACTTCACGCCTTCCTAAGTACAAACTAGACAACATAACCTATCAGAAATCTCTCATATATTTAATAAACCTTTATAATATAATCATAAATGGAATTTAAAAATTGAAAATAGGTACTTATATTTATACTTATACTTGTTGGTAGTTGTCGATAAAGGTTTCACATTATTTAACACGTTCGCTGAGGATAACGCTTTAAGATTGCTACCCCTATGTGCATGACCAGTTGCATATATAGGGGAGGGGGGCCTAGTGGGCTACAACCTCCCCCCAAAAATGTTTTAAAAAACTTAATAATTATTTTAAACGTTTGTTATATTTTAATGGTGCTTTATGCTTATTTAGAATTTGCTTCCAACGTCAAATCATTTTGGAACATTCTGTAAATGAAATATAAATAAGTACCTACTGTGTCTTGTTAGTAATTCTTAGATAGCAGTGGTAATTTAACTCTGTCCATAGTATCCCCACCCGAAAATATTTTCTGTATACGCCACTGCGCATACAGCCTTAAGGCGTCATTTATACTATTATTTTGAATTGGTTTTTATTTGGCCAGCGTTACGTTTCAATCTATTTTCTTTCGTCAGCGTTGTTCAATGTACAGGGTTATTCAAAATTATTCTTCTGATTTCAAATAGCTATAAAATGGTAATTATAAATTGTATCATATCAAATTATATACCAATAAATAGAGGGTATACCCAAGTTTTAGAATGTTATTAATTGTTTGTTTTACAATTATTGCTTTTAAGCGATAAGTTATTTTGTGCAAATATGTTGACCGAACAGCAGAAAGCGTTTTGTGTGTTGCGATTTTTAAAATGTGAATCGGTAATAACCGTGCAACACGATTTTCGTCATCGTTACGGAATCGATGCACCAATTTCTCAGAGTATACGTCGATGTATAAACAGTTTAAAGAAACAGGGTGTTTGGGAAAATGAAAAAGCATAGGCCGACCTCGTGTATCCGTGTATCTCTTGGAATCAATTACAAAAGATATGTTATAAGAAGTATGGAATGATATTAACTATTGGCTGGATGTTGTTCGTATGATCAGAGGAACTCATTTGGAAAATTTAACATATTGTTTTAAGACAAAAAAATAAAATTATCTAAGCATTTGAAATCAGATGAATCATTTTTAATAACCCTGTATAAATCTGTATATGTAGGGGCGGCTCCAGAGCCTTGGTTAGGGCGGGAGACTAAGTTAAAATTTTACAAAATCTTATAACAAAAAGAAAACAATAATTTTTACAACATAAATCAAGTCGCCTACTTTTAAAATTGGCAAAAATATCAATAATATGATCTATTTGATCTAGAATATCTACTTTATGATATACATTAATTAGACATAATGCTGATAGTCTATCTTCAATTATCATTGAACGAAACCAGATTTTTAGTCTCCGAAGTGTGGAGAAACTCCTTTCAACCGTCATACCTCTATGGCTCTACATATTTGTGCGTGTCGTATGATAGTACATATTAATATGTAATATGCATTTTTTGTTAAGAATATACATATTTTTATAAATACGGTATGGGCTGGGGGGGGGGAGCCGCGGCCCCTAGGGCCCCCCATGGAGCCGCCCCTGTGTATATGTGTATAAAATTCGTATATCAAATTTTCAATTTTTAGGCTGATGATATGATTTTAGTTATATATTTTTTATATTATTTTATTTCAATTTCGTATTACTTTATCAGTTATTCGTGTGCCTTTGACTGCGAAATACCCAAGTTATTTCTAATATTCGTCATATTTAACAATTTGCTTGACTTACTCGTATTTTATTAATTTTTATTTTTTTATAAAATATGAATTTACTATACCCGGTCCATCTTGATCTAAACGCACGGTGTTATACGATTTCGTACGATTGTCCCTTTTAGTAAAACTATTGCGTACGAAAATGAGTGCAACGTTGCCAACATGTACTATTAAATTAAATCAAATTAAAAATAATAATAATATAATTTAAAAAAATCATTACTATAATATTATAGTCAATTAAAAACAATATAAGATATTTAAGTATAGAAAGTACAATAAAAAAATAAATTATAAGTTAGAAATTAAAACCTTGGTATCGATAACCAGTCCCTGATAAAAAATTTAATACATTACCATCTATTTTAAATTGGTCCTATAATTTTATTACATGGTTTATTTTTTGTATATCTTTAGATGGAATAGCTTTGGATATATATTTTTGTATACTGGATATTTTTATATTGATTTCAGCTTTCATTTCTTTCAATGCCTCAAGCACAAAGTAAATTGGTGGATATGCGTTATAGAATTGAGCGTTAAAAGTTCTGTGAAAACTCTCTGGACCATTTGTTGTTTTGACATTAAAATACGTAAAAATTACGGAATTAATAATCATCTAAATATTTTATGACCCTTTATTTTTATGTATCAGAACATAAACTTTAATGTTATATTGCACAAGAATACTTCCAAATTTTTCTTATAATTTATAAAACTATGATACCTTTTATTTATTGAAGGTTCTTCAGCCCATATATTAGTTGGAAATATACAATTTGGATGTATATAATTGTTATATAAAAATGTATTAATTATATTGTATATATCGTTTATAAAAATTGTATAAAATATAAGCAATCGTTTCCTAAAATATTACAAATTTTCACGATTTTGAACGACAACACTAAGTATTGGTAGGTAGAATGTACGCAATCGTAATATTGAAAAAGGTCCTTACGGAATCGTATCATACGCAATCGTAATGCACCCTAAACGTATTTGTACTCGTACGACAAAACGCTGTACAAATTGGCTTAAAACTAATATTGTAATAAATTATTAAAATTGAATGTTCATTTTTATTATTACATATTTTTATCATGACACCAATGGAGTCAAACAACATTTGACAAATAAATCATTTGGTAACGCTAATGACCCTAATAGGCGTCATAAAAAAAAATAAATAACATGTACCTAATCTGAACCAGCACCTGGGTATACAAAATTGCTCCACAGCGAACGTGTTAAAACTCAATATGGCTAAATCGTGTTTTGATTTTTTCTTTGTAACGAAAAATTTACGACGAGTAAACAAAGTGTATTTTCTATTTACTTCACACATTATTTCGATGAATTATTGAAGACTCAACAGTGAACGAGACAAACGAGTGAACACCATAATAGTAAGTATTAGAGATGTTTCGGGTAGAAAATTAATTATAAATAGGATACCAAGTATTGGCCAAGTAAAAATCTCAATATTACTCAATTACACCGGGTACTGGGTGAAGGCCGAATCTTAGTTATAACATCGAATTCTCGGCTATCGAGTAATGCCGGATACCCAGAAAATCTCTAGTAAATACCAAATTAGTAATGAATGAGGGCCGAAAACCGCAGTCAGGGGTGTATTTAGGGGGGGGGGGTGTTACAACACCCCCCATCGACCATATTCTATGGTATTTTATTAAATTATAAACTTACTTACAGTATGATTTGAATAAATGTTGTATATAACTTGTCGATTTTACATACACTGTCTTAATATAATCATTTTTATTAAAATAATAATTTATATAAATACATGGTATTTATTTATGTAATATAGGAGGGGGAGCAAAACCTACCACTTACCATAAGTCTATTAAATTTTAAAACACCCCCGTTAAATGAATCCTGGATACGTCACTGACCATAGTAATACTATTATTTCCAAGAACATATCTGTTTCTTTTTTATAATTAGGCTAATGATCATGCTGATAGATTTTTTACAAAATATCTCTTCTTATCATAACCAAAATTATAATAATTATTATATATTATGAATTACATAAGTAGACAAAACCAAACATACACATTTATAACTATTTTTATTACGCTAAATTTAAATTTAATTATTATTTTCATTTATACAATCAATTGTAGTTTTTTGATAAATTTAATTTGTGTCTTTTCAGTTTTGATGATTTTATAGTCTCGTTTGAAAATATCTCAAAACATGTACATTGCATTTTTAGTTCTTCTTCAGATCCGTTGCACGTGAAACCGATTGATAAATAAGTACTATCATACTTACCAAACAATGACGGCTCGTGATATGGGGCACACGGGCACGTGCCCCACCTACAAAATTGAAAGAAAGAAGAAGAATTTAAAATTGAATAGCTTTTGGTATTTCTTTTAACTATCATAATATAGTTGGTAATTGGTATATTTTTGAAAATATTATCGAAAAAAAAAATTGTATCAAATACGGGTGCTCCTACGTACAATACGTACATACTGTACTATACATACATATTTATACGGTCATTAGGCGGCGAGCACAAATTCGTTGTGCCCCGATGGCCCGATCAATAGTGAATTATATTTTTATAACGACTTACGGGATTTTGTCGGTCTTATCGTCTTCATATTGTTATCGTCGACCGTCTTCCGTGGCACAGAACAAATACTAATTATTTATCATAGATTATAGGAACACGATAATTATTAATCATTTTTTGTTCATTATTTTATTTAATTAAATGTTATGTATTTTCATTTGATGGTGCTCTTTTTTATACATTACAAATTTACAATACCTAATTTATTAAATATTTTTTAATTAAATTTATTAGTCATCAAAGTATTCATGAAGAAAAAAAGACAGACGAATCGATTTGGAATTCAAAAATGTTACTGATTAACTGTATAATTATATTTATTATTTATTTTTAAACCATAATTTTCTTATTTTTAGATTTTTTACTATTTTTTCTACAACATAAATCATAAGCGTATATTAAAAGGTTTTTATACACTAACAATTTTATTATATTTAAAAAATTAACAGGAATTGTTAGTAAATTTAGAGTTGAGATAGTGAAAAAGGAGAAAAATGTTTGCAGTGGCGTAGTTACGGGGAGGGTGTAAGGGGTTTCCACCCCTCCCCAAAGATTTTTTTTTTAAGGATATTTGATTATTATTTATTAATATTTATATATTATAGTAAAATATTTTGATTTTACTATGATTAGGTATATATTAAAAATTGAATAACAAAATAATTTTCATTAATACGGGACATAATAACACTATTTTAAATGTAATATTATTATATATGATCTCGTTTTAAGATATACTACGAACACTTGAACACTTACTCTTAAATACCCCCCCCCCCCAGAAAAGAATTTTATCTACGCTACTGAATGTTTGTGCCCTACCTACAATGAACCCTACGAGCCGCCACTGTTATCAAATGTTAAATTTTCTTTTTACATATAAGGAATCTTTTCACTATCAACATCAGAATTTTTTATTTTTAAATTTAGCCAATGCTTCATTTCAACCTAAATATCTATCATATGATTTGAAAAAATAAAACTATAATTGAGTATGATCGATCGATCGATGATTAAAGTGGTGTACCATGCATTTCATATGAATAAGAAAAACTGACGAATATTATTAAAAAAATTATTGAGCGTAGAATCTAAATCCGAAATCCAACACTGTAGATACTTAATTACATTGAATTCCATAATATGATATGATATTAAAAATAATTAACAAATGACTAATAAATATACGAGTACAATAAATACGATCGACGTATAATAAAAATTATAATGTAATACAAAATCACATAATATACATAAGACCAAATATGTCATTTTTATTTATTTTTTGTAATTCTTGAAACAAGGCTCTGTATTTAGGGTATGCAGTTGCATACCCTGTATGTCTCCTGCGCACGCCTATGTACCAAGTATTGATTTATTCGGCGTGTCTAAACCACCAGCCGAGCAGTGGCGGCTCGTGGACCGAATGAAGGATGAAATAGATATTTTCAAAATGTATATAAAATGTCATTTGTGAGAATCATACCAAGATTTATTAAAAGAACGGAAACATACCTTTACATTTGAATATTTAATATTTAAATTATTGAATACAATTACAGATCGACCGTAATTGAATATTTCACGTTTGTTATTTCGACTATGGCGAGAAAATAGTGTTTGTAGTAACTTTATAATTAACACTTGCTTCCCCTGACGAGCCGCAACTGCAGCCAGTAGATCGTGTAGTGAACTCACGAATCACTCGACCCAGCAAATAAAACGTGTGTTGAATATGAATCGGTCAATTTCGATACTAGGTTGAGCACTCGTCACGTGTAAACGAAACTTAAGTTTTCTACTCTATAAATAAGTAAACATAATTCTAATGTTATTTGTTTATTGATTATTCAGATACAATCACTTTGTTGTTCATTATTTTATCTATGTTGCCTGTAAAAAGAATTTAAATTTAAATACCCTCAATATTTCAAATTTTTTTGTATCAAAATTTGACTACAATTCAATGCTCATCATAATATTTGTTGTTATGAATAACAATAATTTTATAAATAAAAAAAAAAATTATTGGGATTATTTGTTTTACCACATATATGTTCAATGGCTTAATTTGGTCATATTTGTGTAAGGGGATGAAATTCTCTTATTTATTACCTTCCACCCAAAAAAAAAAAAATAAAAATAAAAAATAATGTAAGATCTATTAAAAGTTAGTGTAGTTAAGTAAATAGTGCAAGACCCTATATTATTTGATCAAAAAGTAGATTCCAATTCATTATTAACTTTTTTTTTATATTTTAAAAAAACTATATGATGGTACAAATATACAAATATAATTATTGTTGAATGTTATTTTTGGTAATCTTTACTAATAAATCAATAATTTAATAATAAAATATTAAAATTAACAATACATTAATTTATAAATCTAATATTGATTGAATATATGTATTGGTAAATAAAAATATAGAACTAAATTATTAGATTATACCTACTTAATATGTTATTATTTATTAATTAATGAATTCAAATATGTATTTTACTTATAAATTACAGTATATTCAATTTAAAAATATAATTGTATTTCTCTTAACATTATTAGTTTTTTAAATAAAAATGTTTTTATGTTGGTAAGATGGACAAAACAAATACTTTTAATCAATAACAGTTATTAGATACCTAAAACAAAACATTAATTTTTAAACAGTATTTTTTACTTTGAAAATTTACTATCATTGAAATATGCACCAAAATAATAGAAATAAGAAGAATAAATATAGCATTTAATAAAATGTAAAACACATTTTTAATATTTATTGTTATAAATTCACAACATTCATAATAATGTACCTCTCGTATATTGATGTCAGATGGAATATCCATTTGAATATTTAAATGTAAAATACATAAAAATATGGATATTTTAAGTTCAAACACACGCATACAAACAAAAAGTCTTGTTTATTTTGGATACAGTATATTATATATACATGATAACGGAATGCGTTTAATAATTATTTGAATAATTAACGTTTAATGTAATAATAAAATAGGTAGAATTTGTTTGTTTGCACCATATCATAAATATAGCTGTCAGTAGTTGCTTTCTTCAACGTTTCTGTTTCGACATTTCTACTGGTACTACATCATGAGCAATGGATTGGTGTATTGTGGTTGTTGCTGTTGCTGAGACTGATTGTTGTATGTCTGGAATAGTTGTTGTTGCTGCTGCTGCTGCTGCTGCTGTGGATGATCTAGTAAGCTGCTAGTGGTGGTTGTATAGGGATTCTGTTGTTGCACGTCGTTGACATGGTGATGTGCATTGTGGTTCAGCAGACCATTAACACCGCTGAGTGCGTCTTCGGCCGTGTAGTCAATCTGAACATAAAGGTGCCGTACTCCTACGGCACCAAAAACTTGTTCCGCGTACCGCACTAGACCTCTGGTGAATTGGTCACGGTCATGCAACACCTTTGCTGCATATTGAGAGTCCTGCGAATTGAAGGCGTATAATGGTGAAATTGGTGACATCGAAGAGGCATAATCGTTGGCCATCACGGAATTGGGCACGCCACCAGCAGATACACTGGCCAGTGCTGACCGCACTTCGATCTTAATGCTGCCCGCGTAAGTATCTGCGCACAGCGTCCAGAATCGCGGTTCTTGGACGCCCATCACGGCCGGGTGGTATCGGTGCAACATGCCGTAACAGGCATCCAGTACACGCTGCTCGTCGTCCAGCTCGATGGGAGTGCGCATCATTAAAATGCGAGCCGAGTCACGAAGTAATCCCCAAACAGAGGCAGCCACCAGAACGGCGATGAATATCGAGCACACCGGGTCCGCGCGCATCCATCCGAATGCACGCATTAACAGTGCCGAGATGACGACGCCCACACTGCCCAGGGTATCAGCAAGAATGTGGAGCAACACACCTTTCATTAAGTGGTTCTGATGGTTGTGGCCGGTGATTGGCACCGGTGGTGCCATCGATGTGCTGTTTTGCTGGTGGCCGCTGCTTCCCATAGATATGGACACTTGACTAAACTTGTGGTATGGGTCCTCAGTTGAATGGTGATGTCCGTCGTCATGGCTGTGCCCATGGATACTAGAACTGCCGTGACTGTGACCGTGTCCACCACCACCACCATGACTATGTCCATGGCTGCCACCATGACTATGTCCGTGGCTACCACCGTGCTGAAAGACATATATGCCGACAAGATTGACCAGCAGCCCCAGTATGCTGACCACTAACAGTCGGTTGTGATGTACCTCGGGAGGTTCAATGGCCCGTTCGACAGCTTCTGTCAGTATGAAAAAGGCGATGAACAATAAGAACAATGCATTGACAAATCCAGCCAGCACCTCAGCGCGCTTGTAACCGTACGCAAATGAGTCATCAGCTGGCCACCGGCTCACAACTTGAGCAGCAAGCCCAGCAACTAGACCAGTGCAATCAAAGAACATATGAAACGAGTCTGATATAAGTCCTAGGCTGTTGGTCCACATGCCATAAGCGAGTTCAACGAAAGCAAACAAAAAGTTTAATACCAGAAAGCCCATAAGGTTGCGGGCATTTGAATCTGACACAACTGAGCGCAATGCTCCTTTGATTTTAGCTATGAGGCTAGCAGCCGAAGTTGCACCAGAAGAATTACTGCTTGTCATTTTAGCAGCAACGCTAGATTTCCTCTGGGATGCTGATGAAGACAATGGAATCATTGTACTATAGACACAAGCTCCAAATATTATTTGATGATGGATAGTAAGGAAAATTCTGTAACTCAATTTAATGATATCACTATGATAAGTAACTTGATAGAGTTAGTTTCTATTCCAATAGTAACAGAAGTAGTATTGAAGTACTGTATATTATTGTTTTGGTAGAAGTATGATGTCAATTTTTATTTTTTTAATTTCCACGTGTTCTAGAACAGAAAAAAAAAGAAAGTTATCATTAACTGATAAAAAATTACTTAAATAGTAAATTATATAGCAATTATTATAGTTTACTAAATTTTATAGTACACGGAGCAATGAAAAAAAAAAAAGGGAAAAGAATTTAAAATAATATATATATTTTGGTTGTTATGTAAATGTATAAATAAAAATTAAATTGAATAAACTAATTAAATCATAGACATATGACATAATACGTCTATGAATTAAATAGTCCCTTAATATAAATGGATATATATATATATATATCGTATATATTAAATGATAACAATGCATTATAAGATAATACTTCATGAATCATATACTTAATAAAGAATTTAATTAAATAGTTGAGAAATAATTGATAAAATTTGTCTTTTGAATAAAGTGCATACGAGCACATATCATAAAATAAAATGTATACAAGTGAATTAAAAAAAAAAATTATCAAAATAGAACCATTGGCTCTAGCATGAATATCAACGATAGATGATGAAATATTGACCATAAAACAGATGTAATGGAACAATACAATTCATGATTACCAATTAAATAAAAATCAACAAACCTCAAGCGGCAGTAAGCACACACAATGCTATTTGACGGCAGTGGTCGTGTCTACTGCTATGGCCGTAGTGGTTGCTACGTTGATTGCGATGGCGCTCATTGCGCTGCTGCTGCTGCTTGACAATCGTAACGTCACCAGGGCAGCCGAGTTGGATGAAAGGAGACAAAAATGATGTCCTACGACGTGTGCGAATCGATTGCAGCGGCGATGATAACCTGGTTCCGGGAGGCCGGCGAAATGTTAGAACGAATGCCGCTACAGCGATGGCGGTGATCGGGACGACGTGAGAAATGTAGGATGGACGGCCTGCCGGCGAAGAGGTCTCCGACACGCGCTGATGAACGGACAGGAGTAGCTGTACGACGAGGATCGATGGACGGAGGCGTGTGCCGACGGAATAATATGGGCCGTAATTGTTCTGTTGTGTTGCGCGCCCCACGCCGTCGTACCGTGTGTATACGTGGATTGCGGCACGAGCAGTGCGATAAGCGGTGTCCGCGGAACGGTAATCACTCGATTGCGCGAGGCCCGCGCTGTTATCATCGGTCCATCGCGGCAGGCGGCGAGGCTAGAGCTACGGCACCGCAGATAAACAGCTGTTGGCCGCCGGCGACGAATTTCCCCGCGGACGCGTCAGGCTATCACAGTGTTTATCGCGGGAGTCCGGAGCGTCGGTGATGAATGCCCGTCGCCGAACACAACGGAATATCGTCGCCCCGACCGTCGACGGTACAACACCCCCTCCACTGTCCCGGTCGACTGCTGCCGCAGTCTTGTTCTCGTTGCACCAAGTGTCTGTTACCGCGCGCGACCAATACGAACCAGCTACGAGCCCGCCGTCCCGTCGGCACAGGAGCGGATTTGTTGCCGCCGACCCCAGATGCGACGCGTCACATGGCGCGTATGTGCATCGCCGACGAGTGTTACGCACGCGACCGTCCGTTGATCGGTGTAGCAGCAGATCACCGTTACCGCCGTCGCGCGTTTGTCGCATTGGGTTCTTCGAGGTAGACGTGTCGTCTTGGTCGATCTAATATTGGCGTTCCCGTCACGTGCACGCGGAAGCGGGAAAACGTGCTAGGAAATGGCTATTTGACCGTGAGCCACAGCAGCTGTTCGTCCTACTCGTCGACGGCTGCAAAGGCAGAAGCAGCCGTTGGGTGTGCAAACGGTCGCTGGAGTATCAAGTGTGTGGCGGCGACATTGGTCTTTTTTGACAGCAACATATTATTTCCTAACAGACAAACGCACAACACACGTTTCTTATAAACGAATAACATTGTACGGCTACTTCGACTGTTGAACATAATTAACTGGCTCCAACGCTGCACGTAACTTGTGCTCACGGTATAAACAGTTTAAATTCATTACTATAGTTGTTAGCTCTTTATTACCTACAGTTCTTTTGCAATGTAGTTGACACAAACAAATAGTATATAATAATCTGAAACTACTTTTGCATAGGTAGGTAATTTAAACTAGTAAATAGCTCATAGATAAAGTACTTACAATAGTGTTAATACAGTCAGTGAGTAGGATATTACTTTAATTTTAGTTCAAGTGCATTTAAATATTATCAAGTATAATCAAGTTAATAACACTAATTCAATATTTTAAGGTTTAGCATTTAAATATCATTGTACATTTATTTTAAATTAATAATTTAACTAACAAAGAAAACTGAATCCTCTAAGTTTCAAATAATGATCCATTGAGGACCAAAGAATCAATCAGTTCCACCTTTCTCTATCTTCTGCATCCTCTAAATGAATCTACCTAGGTAACCTCTAATACTAAATCCAACCCTTTTTGTCTCTACCTAATGAGTAATAATTTTAATTTTTTTTTTCAAATAACTTCTTTTTCATCTTTGCCCTTCTCCCAACTATTTGGGGTCAGCCACCTTTATCTTAAACTTCTTCTTGTCTCGATTTTCTACATCCCTTAGGTGTCAAATAACACTTCTTAATATTTCATTTGAACTGTTCCAACCATTCTAATAATTTACTTATTTTAAAAGCAATAGTGTTGGAATGTTTGAATACATTCTTCAATCTTCATTGTATCTTATTTCATTTTTAGTATTTAAATAATAATAGTTTCTTATTATCTCTTTTTGTTATTAACCATGTCTTGTATTTGCACATCAATGTCAATGTCAATAAATATGTAGACAATGTGTTACAATAATTAACAAACTAAATATTAATTGAGTAACTGTAAATTATAATTTTACAATGACAATAAAATTAAATGACATAAATATAGTAAGGTTCATTAGATTCCTAATTTTAACGTTTTCAATTGTGTACAATATTTTATCATTATTTTCTAATGTTATCTATATTTTTAAAATAAAATAAATTGGTCATAGTATTTCAAGTAGAATAATTTTTAGTGCTTAAGTATTCACAACAGTTTCATTATATTAGATATTATAATGTAAAATAAAATATAAGTAAATTAATAAATAGTTTATATAGAAATAAATAAATAAAAGCTTAACCTGGAGTATTAATAAATTATTATTATAGTTAATAATTAATAATATTATAGTACTCCAGGATAAGCTCTTATTTATTTATTTCTATATATAAACTATTTGTTAATTTTTTTACATATTAACCATTTAATCATTTTTAATTTTATTATTTTATTGTAAATTAAAAATTAATATTTAATTTGTTTAGTTATATTATAATACAATGTAGATTAATTATTTAAATACATTTTAAATTAAACTTACCAAAAATTTGTCATGTATTTTAATTACTTTTTAAATATTTGGTATTTTTATATTTCCATTAATACATGTGAATTTTAGGCAATTTAAATGGGAGCAAGTATTTTATATTATTTATTTACAATACATAATTAATACAATTTATTTACATTATATATTTTTACATATTATAATTGACACTAATAAATAACAGTTGACAATAACTTAATTTTTTTATTTGTTTAGTATTAACAAGAACTGTGGTACTATTGGTACCTAATCAAATTCAGTCATTGCTGTCACTGTTATGTTTACGGCAGTACAACGTTATGTGTCAAACACCCTGGCTGGTATATCAATTGCCAGTGGTGGAAATGTAATTAACCTAGTTAGCTGTTATATGAGAAAGCTGGCAAGAATAGCAAATGGTGGTGGTGGTGGCTTCAAAGCTGCAGTGACTACAGTCTTACTTTTCATTATGGTTGCTCTGTATTGCTTATATGGTACTGGTGGCAGTACAGGTATAATGGCACCTATTGCGAATAGTCAACAATGGTTAAGTATGTCTATAATCATTGAGTATTTATTTTAGCTATAGTAATTAATAAAATGTAATTTATGATAAATTGAAATTAATTATTTAAATGTTGGAGGTGAAACCACTTATCTTTCTTATATTTATTATTTTGTCTTTTATTTTAATGTATATAATTATTGAAATATTTATTTAAAAAAATGTTTGAATTAAATTTATTGCTGTACATATTAATATTGTCACGTCCCATGTATTTAGATAACAATAGCACTATAATCACCCTTGCATTACATATATGCATGAGTGTGCAACAATACATACACTTCATAATAACAAATTCTTATAAATATTAAAAAACATATCCGTCAAATACATCTACATAAAACTCGAACAAGGAAACAAATAAATGATTATTAGGATAACATCCACAATATCACACAAACGTCATTCAATAAGGATTATCATTTTTATCTATCATTAATTCTTACACACACACATACACATACCCTTGCGTCCATCGGGTTATAAGGGACCTGGAAACAAGGGCAAATCAGACGAGTTCCTGCTATGCGACACTGAGCACCTTTACGCTAGTGTATGTTATGATCAAGACTTAGAATCTTACAACAGTTTATTAAATTATTAGGATTTAGAATATTTCATATAATTTATTACTTATTTGTACTCAGAATAATTTAAACAGTTTAAATAAATCACTTTAACCACAACTAGTAGTAATTATTTTATAACATCCATCTACATTCAAGCGTTGAACAGACTGAGCGAATAACTGAAATATGATCAATCGGTTGGCACACAACAGTATATTGATGTATTTTTGGTTCAATTTATACATTTTAAAATTATCCATTAAATTAATTAAGTATACTCAACAAAATTAAGTAACTATGTAAATTAAAATACTATTTTGGATCAGATACATACAAATAATTTAACTTCCATAATAACAACAAATATATTATGTATCTAACCAAACAAAGAATGTAAGAGCTACTTAAAAAAAATACCACTTTAAATACTATTAGCTTAAATAATGTAGATTTTGATTTGATTTGTTATGAATTCTATAGATTGCAAACATTTCAATTTATTTATTGTTTTGGTTAATTTCCACCATAATTTTAGAAATAGTAATTTGTACAATTTTTTTTGCTGTAAACTTTACTATTAATAATACCATCAGGCTATTACTGTTATATTTATTTTATTTTATTTATAATTTTCAGATAGTAATGATTCTCTCAAAGTACAACCAGACATAACTGTTGAAACAGCAACAATGAACGGTAGTAACTTAAATACAAGTCTTCCTTGTGGCGGTAAGAATAGTAAGAAACCTAAAAAAAGACCACTCAAGACAAAATCTCCAAATGGTGGCAGAATTCTGACGGCCGCTGATATGTATGAACCGGGATTTCGCATCGGAAATGCAGACATTTGTTCACCTCGCACTAGATTATTGGTATTGATCACATCAGCAGCCGCACCAACACATTCCCAACACCGACAAGCCATTCGTATGACATGGATGAATCGATATGGTCCTGGTGTCAGCATGGCGTTTTTGGTGGGCACGCCTCAGATATCCGAGACCGACCCAGTGGCTCAAGTATTAGAGGCTGAAGAACAAGCTTTACAAACACGCCTGAATCGGATTGATAACAATAGTATTGACAAAACAAAAGAAAATCCCAAGTCTAAGCCATCTGCAGCTATAGTTTCCGGAGTAGCAGATGCACTTGTGGATCCACTGGTTGGCGATTCTGGATGGTTTCGATTTTTAAGAGACCGAGAACAAAACTCTGGGGAAGGCTTAGATGCTCAGGCAATGCATGGTCTGAATGAGGCTGAACGAGCCGTCCAGCGAGTTTTGGGTCGAGAACATGGTCGTTATGGTGATTTAATTCAGTGCCAAGTTCGAGATACCTACAATAATTTGACTCTAAAGTCTATTGCTGCACTTGAATGGACCCGTCAGTATTGTCCGTGGGCTAAATACTTGTTAAAAACGGACGATGATATGTTCATAGATGTACGTCGATTATTGCGATTCATCGACAAAGTGGAAACCGAAGCAATTACTAAATCTGGCATCAATATTCCTCGTCCCCTTGAACAATCTGAATTTTATTCCATGGATGCAGACGGATTTGAAACTCCTGCTGCCTCATATTTTGATATTGATTTACCACCTACCATCTGGGGAAGGTTGGCGCATGGATGGCGTCCAATTCGACAACACAATAGCAAATACTATGTTTCCCATTCACAATATGCTAGTCGTGTGTACCCAGATTTTTGCACCGGGCCTGCATACCTTATGACTAGATCGGCTGTGAACCCCTTGTATGAAGCAGCTCTGGGCAGAGACTTCGACATAATTGATGATGATGATCTTGAAACTAAAAACGATGAGGTCAGTAAAATTAAAGGCCGAGAGGACAATAAAGATTTAGAAAAAGGCTGTGGAGACAGTAATCAAACCTTAGATGATAGTAGTGATAAATTTATAGCAAATGAAGATAAAAATAATAAGGTTCCATACTTGAAACTGGAAGATGTATACTTGACTGGTGTAGTAGCTGAGCGTCTAACACGTCGAGCAGCCGAGCGACAAGCACGACAAGAACAAAAAGAAAAAATGGCTGTAAATGGTAGCATTTATAATGAAAAATCTGGGAAAACAGCAATGGGGATCATCGGTGATACTAAAAAAACTAAATCGAAAGGTTCAGATATAATTGTAAAGGTGCGGCGCATTCATGATGACCAATTTGCAAATAAGAAAATCACTGGCAGAGCATTGGAACGGGCTATATGCAGTGGTGTAAGCCCTGGAGATACTGTCGGCACAGGTGGAGATGGTAGTTTCAGCTGGTTTCGTTGGTATTGGGGTGACACAGCGGTAGAAAAAGACTTAAAAAAAAAGAAAAAAGACCAAGGAGTAATTTCTATACACATGGTCAAGTATTTTGAGCAATTTGATTTGTGGCGTCGACTTATGGATGGCCGTACAAAGTGTAAGTCCTAACACTCAATTTTGTATTTTTATTTTATATTGTATTTATTTATTTATTGTAATTAATTTTCGCCCGCGTTTTTCAGTATTTATTTTTATATAATGACTTATTTATCCCATAGTTTTTTTTTACCGCTTTTGAAATGGCTGCCGGTAATAAAATATAATATAAATGTACTCAGCAGTTCCTCTTTTAGACAAATATTATTTTTTTTTTTAATTTTATATCAAGTCGTCACTAAAAAATACTGTGAATAATTATTTTTAATTGATGTATATTTTTTACTTATTCCGTTTTCGTTGATTGCCCTTTCCAATACCGGCAGATTCACAGTTCTGTACCACAAACAAATAAGAATTTTCATTGACACTATTAGATTTGAATTTTTTTTATTAAATATTTATATTCATATAGTTGACCAAATGAATCTCGAAATTTATATATTGACTTTAAACATAGACATGTTGATAGACATGATACACTGATATTATTCATTTTTATGTATATAATGGTCGCTATAATCAAACTATATTATATTGTAATAATAATGATAAAGTAGTTAAAACAATCATATGATTATTTTTTAAGAAATATTTATATTTATATATGTATAAAGGTCCACTGTAAAAAAAAATTTCAATCCATTGCAGCTCTAGACATTATGGTTTTGTAAATTTTTAAAAAAAAAAAACTTGCCTAGAGCTATGTTACTGATCCCTGATGTAGAGCTTTATTAATACTTCAAACAATATGATTTAAATTGCCCATCATTTTTATTATGTATTTACAATAAATTGTTTATAAATCTATTCTTATAAAAAAAATGTATTTCGATGTATTAAGATATGAAAAATGTATCAATTAAAATTAAAAGTGGTATATTTTTAGAATGATTTGATAATTTAATATATTTGTTGTACAATATAATAATGAAATTTGTAATTTAATCAAATATAAGTGATTCACAAATCAAATATTTTTTCTACATATTTAATACAAATACATGATAGTTAAATAATTATTATAATAATAATAATAATAATAACTTATAATTTACAAACAAACATAAAATAAATTTAGTTGAAAAAAATGTATTTACTTTATGACTAAATTATTAATAATAATAATAATAATAATAATTTAATAACAACTATGATTTATTTAAATGAATCGCAACACTTAACTATATAATTTAAAGCTACAAATTTATTTATTTATTATTATTATTTATTACTTATAATAAGGTTTTCTATTACAAAATTACAGTCTTTAAAAAGTGTCCTCAATATTAATGACACCCGAACAAATTATAATTGTAGAACATTCATCTCTGTATATACAAATTTTGATTTTTGAGAAGAACTTTTTTTAAACACTGGACAATACAAAAAATCAACCATTATGCAGTTACATAGTGAAATATCATGAATATTTATTTTTAAATGTTTCTAAAGCATTTAATAAAATTTTAAATAGTTTGTATTAGCCCTTATTTTTAACAAAATAATGAATATTTTCATAATCAAGTTTGTTAATCATCAATATATTTGATAGAACAAGATACTATTTTGAATCGAGGTGATAAAAGTAAATTTTGTGTCAAATTTAATAAGCATTTATTCATATCATATTTTTATATTGTGCATAGTGAATGTCCTACTTCTTTATTGGTTGTAATACATACCTAGGTAATTATACATACTCAAGCCTGGATTAAAATAATTAAAAGCCCCTCTAAAATAAATAAGAACTTGTGATTTATTACATTATTATATAATATACGAGTAGGTTAACATTATTATATAATATAATTAAATTCAGTTATATTAATGATTATTTTAGTACTTTAGAAGAAAAAAAAACTTGGACAGATTTTAAAGACTTTCTTAATTAATGTTATTTTTAATTGTTTGGCACTTATTTTTATCGTTCCAAGTATAGAAAAAAGTTTTTAGCAGACTAACTAGATCTTATATATATATATTCTTTATCCGATGATAGAAAACATACAATTTTGGGAATTTAATATTGATGGTATATTCAAGTTAAAATATGATCTATAAAATTAATTTCAAACTCAACTATTTATTGTTAGTAAAACCATATATCTTTTTTATATAAAAATGTAGTATTACAGACACTAAGCTTACTTTATTTACAAATACCTACATAAGAAATACCATTATTTGCAAAGCATAAATTTGATATAAATAAAAAAATTATCAAAAACAAATGTTAATTATAATTATTTAAAAATCAATGATATAAAAAATGAATTCTAACAATAGGATTAAAAAAAAATCTCATAACAATTATGTACTTACCATTGTCAAAATATATAAAATTAATATTCTAGATTAGTGGTGCCCAACCCGCGACCCGCGAAGGTATTCAATTCAATGTTGCTCGATAATTTTTTTTTTTTTAAATAAAACAAAATATTAAATAAAAAATTTAAATTATTATGATATACAATTTTTTTAAATTTATTAATTTTACTTTCGAACATTTTCTATTTAATTTCATTACAATTTCATGATATAACCTGTGCACTTAAAAGAGCTTAGTGGTCAAATTAATGTGTACCTCAATCTATAATCTTTTATAACAAAATAACATTATTAAATTAATATTTATATTATTCGTACTTTTATATTTGGTGGCCCACTCTAAAATAATTGTTTACCAATGTGGCCTGCCCAGAAAAAAAAGGTTGGACATCACTATTTTAGATCTTACAGGAATTAACATTTATATAATGACGAACATAATAATATAACAATTGAAAATTTATACATTAATAATGATATTAACCATGAGGTCATGCTATTTGATCTTGGGTATTAGATTTTATTGAATATTAAATATTGTATTGATGGTCTTTAAAATCTAAATTGATTAAATTATTTGATTTATATATATATAAGTGAGGAAAAAAATAATATAAATTATTTGTACATTATTTTTTAAGAAAAAAATGTATATTTTCTAATAAATAATAATTCAATACTTTTACTTTTACTTTAAAAAACAGTCAAATCAATATATAAATAAGGTCTCACAAAAAAAATAAAAATAAAAATATGGCAAGTTTTTAGACCTGAAGCCCTCTCTTCATTTTAATCCAGACTTTATCTTACTAGTACAATAAATTATATATATATATGATATATATTTTAATGAGAATATAAAATACTTGTATGGCATATTTTTTTTAATACTTAAAATTAAATATTTTTAATTTATTTTTAGTTAAGTAATCCATCTATGTAGATTAAATGCAATATTGATCCAGCCAATCATTTTCCATGGCAAATGTTTCAGCTGCTTCTTTTAATGCCAAATTTGGAATAAGTTGTTCAACTGTTAAAGGCCGACCTGATACTGGATCAAAATGACCAATTTTCTAAAAGTAAAAGTAGGAAATTATTACTAGTAATTCAAATATACAACAATATAACTGATATATTTTATAGTCACCAATAAATTAATAACAAATAAAATTAATTTTGAATCGTCTAATTAAAAATGTTTGATGCTTTGAATTTCTTAAATGAAAAAAATGAGACAATGAAGTTATAGTGTAAAAATAAAAGAATAAAGATAAACTAAAATGATAATAATTCAGTATTTTAAAATAATTTATAAAAGTTTATTTTTATTTATAGTTATACTATGATATTAAATAAGAATTTTTATTCGAACTTATAGCACTATAGTTTAAAATTCATAGCATATTTTTTAAATGTTAACTTAGGTATTTTTTTTTTATTTACAATTTATTATGACTATCTATCAGCTGTCTGACTAGTTTATCATTGTCAAAATATTAAATTATCTAATTTAACCGCTGACCTTTCAAAAAATACAACTAAAGTACACTTAAGTCTGTATATTTATAATGGATATACTTAAAATATTGTGGAAGTAAAATAAAACCTCTTTTAGTGGGTCAAAAGCATTTTAGATCTAACTATAATCAAAATTTAAATTTTAACAAAATTAGTTTTCATGACTTATTAATATATTCTAAACAAATTACCTTACCATTAAGTGTTCTTCTACATCTTTACGATCATACGATATACCACTGGGAGTAACAACAGGATCCTTCACAATATTACAACTAATGTTACCACACAAAAAGTCAGGTAATTCTCGTTTCTAGCAAAAAATACATAAATTTAATAAATTAGACAATATTTTAAGAAGGTAATGAACAAAATTATCTTTATACTTTTAGTCGATCATCATTCTTAACAAATATTGTATGTAGTTCAGAAATATTTTTCTCCTGAAAATCAAATAAAATAATAGAAATAACAATAACTGATTTTTAATTATATGTACTTACATTTTGATTTTGAATTTCCATAGTACGGTTTTCAAATTCTTCAATTTGATCTTTATCTTCGGATGGCAATTTAATATCATTGATTTTACGAATCATATCATCTTCCATAAGTTTTTTCAAATATGACTAATGTTATAAAATAATATAAATATCAACTGATTTTAACCGTACATTATGCATAATAGACATTAATAGATATTAATAAATAATAGTGCAAACTAGTAGCACTGAATATGCAGGATTTTAAGTGGTATTTAAAGGTGGATAGTTAAATTAAATGATTTATATTTTATATAGTATATCAATTAAGTAATTTGGAATAATTTTATTAATTTATAATAAATTACAGAAATAAATGTACATTGAATGTTCTGAAGAGACATGTGAGGGAAGAAGTAAATAAATAACTACACAGTTTGTACAACAATAAAAAACAAATTTGGTGTCATTGGTACAGACATTTTAAAAATAGTTTTTATTTACCAAAAGTTCCATCTCTTGACTTTGTCTTAAGCTTTCTTGTTTCTCCCATTTCAATCTACGGGCTTTTCGAAGATTTCTTGTTATGTCATCACCGTAGTTAATTTTTTTTTCTTTTGCCAGATTATGAGCTAATTATACATGGAATAAATTTACTAAATATTAAATCATTTTTTGAAATGTTAACAATTGAATGTTTATTTTTCACCTTTTTGTAATTTTTGTAATGCTTCATCATACTTTCCCAGCTCGATCAGTGTCTTCCCCAAAAAGAAACAACCTTTAATGTGTTCAGAGTCTAGTTCTAAAGCTTGGCAACAATCTGAATACGCTTCATTCCATTTATTTAACCTTAAGAAACATAATGCTCGATTGGTGAAATACTCAGGAACAATGTGATTTTTTACCTAGACGTAAAACAAAACATTGTTCACATTTGATACAAGAAAACACAAGAACTACGGTTTAAAAGATTAGGTTAATAATCTGGTTATATAATAATACAGATTTTACTTACAATAGCCATACTATAACATTCAATGGCTTTAGAATATCGTTTAGCATTGAATAGGCGATTGCCTTCTACTTTGAGATCAATATCGCTTTGATTAATAGTCACATAATCGGACTTGATGGGTTCGTACATTTTATAGTTACGAACTGATGAGATGTATAATACCTGAAAACAATAATCATCATTGTTGTTAGTTGTTACATCGCACGTACTGTTTATTTTATCTTAATGTTATGCACAACTGATAAATAAAATACAAGGTAGGTATCAATTGGCAGGTATGAAATCTAGTATTCTAAAACGCGATCGGTTTAGTACCATTATAGGTTGTTTCAGCTAACAATCGATTAACGAGAAACGTGCCTGTATATTATAACGAGCGCGGCGAGTGTAAAACGATAAACACTAGAACTTCTTGTCAGCATTAAAAAAAAACAACTAAGCATACGTACCGAGACCAGCCGCAGAACGAATCGCAAGGACCGCCGACGGGGAAACGGAACCGTTGGACAAACGAAAAGAATCGGTCGCCTCCGCACAGCGAAAACGGCGAAATAAGCGAACTCGCGTGAACGGGAATAGCCTCTGATATCTCGCGGATATCACCAGCTCGACGGTCGCGCACTCGCGAGCTACGGTATTGTATTGTCGTCCCGGTCGTCGAACATCCACCCGACGGCCGGCACTGTTCGTGTGTCGCACAAGAGCGCTCTATGGGGAGTGGCACCTTGATCGGTCTCTGCGTCCGGAACGACGTCGAAAAGTTAACAACAGGTGATGCGGTCTGGGGCACCGCCGACACTGATAGGCGCGAAGACGAACCAACACGGCGGCGGCGTACACAACATCGGTCGGTGCCGCCACTCCAGCACTGCTTGTGGGGGGGGGGGGGGGGCACACGGTTCTCGTACGATTGTTTTGCTGCGAGCACAGCCCCTCCGGAGCCGGCCGTCCGATTTTCTCGTATCGAACGCGCGCGAAACGGAAGCAAAACGCGAGTACACGTACCCGGTGCGCACATATAGTGGACGCCTCCGCCCGCCCTAGATTCGTCGTGTACCCGGTCTCATTTATCGATTTTCAACGTGCTACCGTTACCGTTCTTCACTGCGCTGCTAGTCGGACGACGCGAGGAACAAGACCGATGCCGGCTCCGGTCCACAGAGTCCCTACAGGCCCTATTTTTATGTGAACCCCGACACACAATGTGCACCACGAATGTACAAGTGTGCATTACGGTTTTAACGTGTGTGCACTACGGTCTACAAAACAAAAATTAAATAATAAGCCAACTATTAGGAAATATGAGTATTATTGAATTTTTTAAAATTTAATGCATATATATGTATATTATGTATGTAATATATTACTTTTTCTAAGACAGTAGCGAGACTAAATCAACAATGCCCTGAGTGTTAATCAAATTACTAATATCTCCTTCTATACTTAAAATAGATAAATAATTAAATCTTTCTTCTCCCATACTATTTCTCAGCCAATTTTTAATACGCCTCGTCGAAGAAAATGAGCATTCGCATGTTGCTGAACTTATTGGAATGGTCATAGCTAGGCTTAGGGACTACTAGCATTTGCATACTTTTTTTAATTATTGTTAAATATAGCAGAGTGCGAAATAAATTCGTATCTCGGTGCCATGATATCAGATCTAAAATTTGAATGTGCATATTTGATAGATTTTGCAGGAGAGTGCATATTTTAAAATGTTAATGCTTATTTTGCATATTTTGACAAATTTTCCAAATTTAAAATTAACAACTATGGATACATATTTCAACCTATTGAAAGAAAAATATATTAAGAGGACTTAATACTTCCAGTAATATGCTATCTGCAAACTACCTCTCATATCTCGTTATAATTTTTGTGTAAGTATAAATAATACTATAAACCTGTATCGACCGTATAACCCGCTGGATATCGACCGGATGTCGATAAAGATAATAGCTGATATAGAATAATAGATTATTTGTTTAGTGTCCAGTTCAGTTGATTGTTATCCAGGGCCGTAGCTAGGGGGTGGTGAGAGGTGCCTATGCCCCGGCCGCAATTCCTGGGAGAACGCAAAAATGAAAATCTTGCGTTTAATGTTAAAAATTACAGCGGTCAATGTCGTATATTTTGTTTACAAAATCTTTAACAGCCTTCATATTATAATCAAAACAATCATCGAAAATAATATCTAATAAGCGTAATATTTTCAAATTGAAAATACGTGAGGGCGCATTTTGAAGTTTCGCCCCGGGCGCAATGTTTGGTTGCTACGGCATTATTATTATTCGTCGTTGTTTTTGCATCTCGCAACCACACAACGTCGAATCATACGTAAAACGTCGTACGCGTATATTTTATAATATTGTGTAATGCCGAAAGTACAACAGTCTACGAGTAGCCGACTACAAAGTTTTGTTTCGGAGTTTAAAGATATATTTACATCCGATGAACACGTTTTATTTTGTGTACTATGTGGTCATTTTTTTTTTTTTTTTTTTTAATGCATATATATGCATATTATCAGTAGCGTACATTCGGTGGGGTTGGGGGGGGGGGGGGGGGTTAAAAAAAATAATCATTATTTTTTTTTTTTCGTTGTACAGATAAATAAGATAAATAACTGCTATAAACAGTTATTATTTTATACAACTTTTTTACCAATTTACAGTTTACTTTTACATTACAGTAAATTAATAGCTATTGGAATATAAAAACAGTATAGTTAACAAAACTTTTCAAACACCTATCAATATAATTATTTAATTATCATAATATTTGTATAGTTGTATATTTTAAGTTCAAAGCGTGATAATGAAACTACGAATATATTACACGTCATCAATAATAAAACAATTTTATTTTTTTTTTTTGACCCTGGGGAGGTTTGAACCCGGAAACCCTCCCCGTATGTACGCCACTGCATATTATAATGCATATTTTAATGATTTTAGAAGCATATTTGTATGCATATTTGTGTATTTTTTAGAGCTATAAGTCCCTAAGCCTAGTCATAGCAATTTGTAACAACTTATACAAATTGAGATAGATATGTTTTTCAATTACATTCTTCAAATCGTTAAAATCAAAATCATTTTTTTTAATTTTTAAACAATTGTGATATCAATTGAAATATCCACAATATCCTGAAACGAAAAAAAAAGATTATGATAGTTATAAATCTCATTACAAATAATTAATTAATTAATAATTAGTTCAGATAATATATTATTTTAGTTTCATATTATAAAATATTAAATTATGATCTTCATTAGTTTGATACCTTATAATGATTAATGAAGTACAATTAATTTTTATAATCCAAATTGCAAAATAAGTCAATTGAATTTGCCATTAATAAACTTTCATCTGAAAATCTGTACTTTAAATAAGTAATTACAGTATTCATGCTGCGCATATATGGTGTATTTTTCCAAAACGTTTCAACTGAATTTGATACTTCATGTTCTGAAGCTGAAACTTCTGCTCCTGTGGTCGTTGTTAAAACGTAATAATTACGTTTTAACATAATTACGTTTCATAATTATTATGAAAATTGCTTGGTTCCCTTCGTTGACGTTTTGATCCTTTTTACCAAATAAATATAAAAACATTGAAGTATAATATTATACACTTTATAAAAATAACATAATAATATATATTATATAAGAAAAATCAACCAACCAAATGATGGAATCTGTAAACATACATCATTTTTCTCAACTATATGCATTACTTTTCTCCACAAATTTAAAAATTCATCATCATATCTTAAGTTTTCAAAAAATGTTATTACACCAATAATTATATTTTTAGATGAACCAAGATTTACAGCTTTATTTTATGAAGTATTGCTTAAAATATTTATAATACTCAACACTTCTTTCAGTATAGTAAAAATAACTAAAAACTAACTATTTTAGATTGAAATCAAAATTCCTATAATATTTAAAAAACATTTATATAGATAGGCATCAAAATAAATTATTTTCTTAACTATTATTTACCTATAGCTTGAGCGACATAAATAATACAAAATAAGTGATGTATGTTAATATTTTAAGAATATTAAAACTAAAAGTATATTAAATAAGACAGTGTAAATACATATGTTATTTTTTCGAAACCAGTTGAAAAAACATTTTATTAATTAATTTATTAATTTCTACGTATAAACTATTTGTTTACTTTATTAAATATTGATTTACAATTGTTAACCATTTGATAATTTTGAATTTTAATTAAATTTTTTATTTTTTTATTACTCTAAAAATGGTTAAATTAAAAATAAGAATAATATAATATAGTGTAATAATACATTTTTAATATTAAACAAAAAAAATATATAAATTATTGAACTTGAGTATAAAAATTGTAGTGCAAAAATACACTAAGATCTTTGACCTTATTCCAAATTTCATAGTTTTTTAAAATCTGGTTCAAATGATACAATATATAATCTTAAATCTGGAGCTGCGTTCAGTTTATTTCTATAATTATTATTATATACATATAGTAGTACTCTATAATGTATATTCTATACTAAATTTTTATAAGATAAATTGATGGTTAAGTTTTTATTTCTAATAACGAATCGTTATGAATGAAATAAATTCAATATTTTCCTTCATTACTCAATTTTTTTCCGGGTAGGTACTCTAGGTTGGGAACCGCTGCACTAGACGATTCGAATGCACGCGACCTCGTTTCAAAATCGTGGTCCATTTTCACACTGAACGATTTGCGTGCGTTTTCCAAAGTACAAAAAGCGCTAAATGTTATTCAATTCTTGTATTTTATAGCATACTGGGTTAGTACTGCTGTTACCGTTCATTGTAAATGACTGCTGTTCGTTTCCTATTGAACTTTAAATTCGTTGTGTTTCGTTTCGTATTTTTTCTTTTTTGAAATGGAAATGTTAGATGATATTGAAGCCGTATGCGTTATTTTTGCATTATACAAAGAATATGAAATCAGTGAGAAACAGAAACGAAACAAATTAAAAGACGACCTAGGTTGATCCTTTAAATTTAAAAATACCGGATAATGGTCAGTTTTAGGTGAGATTTATGACTATTCGTAGCTACCCAGAAGAATTCAAGAAATATATATATATATATATATATATATAGACATTTAAGTAACTTAAATATAATAATCTCAGTTAGATGAAATTTTTAAAAATACTTTTTGTCTAGAGACGGTAAAATATAAATTATGAATGAACGTAAATAAAAGCGAGGGAATTGCGGCGTTTAAATCGTCCATGAGTATTGAAACAACGAAAATAACTATGAATTACATAGGGAAAATAATGTTTAACTATAGTTGGATTGTTGCAAACTATCGAACTATATGTAACGATCAAAATCAAACATCTCGACGTGTTCAAACGCGCCCGACGCTACTGAACGCACGTTTCATATTCCTATGTTTAGTTATGAGCGATTAAACACGACGTTTTTAAAAAACGAACGCGCGAATTCGAATCACCTAATGTGTAATCCACTAAGGCCTCAATAATCATTAAATTGGAGTTCGTATAATTGTTACACTGTTATGACTGTAAATATTAAAAGTTTTTGATGTTTCATATTGTATCGTATTTGAATTTCAAATTTGCAGCGTACCGCGGCGTTCGAATTTCTAACCTATAACTAGCCGGGTTTTGTTTACAATTGAGTATTACCATATCGATCGTGTATGAAAGGTTACGCTATCGCGCGTACCGTTGTCACTTTACCTTGATTCTTTCAAAACTTGTGTTTTTAGCTTCGTACGTTGTATTTCGTTATTTAGCATTCTGTTCGTTGCTGTCGTTTTTGATTTCACGCGTTCACTTTGTTGTTTTTTCATTTCACATCGTTTGATCAACGAATAAATAAAAACCATTGAACATTTTCGTGTGTGACTCGTTACTACGAAACTATACAATATGGCTAGGAGAGGTTTGTTGACCGACGATTTATCCCATGTCGAATTCGAAACAAGCGAAGATGTCGAAGTTATGTCGACATTTGATTCAATGCATCTAAAGGAAGACCTTATTCGTGGAATTTATTCATATGGTAAGTTGCTTAAGCGAAATGCAAATCTTTTAAAGGCTATATGTTAATATTACTGTGTTTTGTTTTAATAACTTTTACAGGCTTTGAACGTCCCTCTGCCATACAGCAGAGGGCAATTAAGCCCATGATTAAAGGACGAGATGTTATTGCCCAGGCGCAATCCGGTACCGGTAAAACTGCTACATTTTCCATAGCAATGTTACAAATAGTGGACACACAACTCAGAGAGTCACAAGTATTGTGTTTGTCACCCACCAGAGAGTTAGCTGTACAAATACAAAAGGTATAATTAACATAAATTATTTATGTTTATTGAATTATATCTATCGCATAATAAGCAAAATTGTTTGAATTATTATATTCAGTACTTTAGTTATAAATTATCGAAAAATTGTAGTTGTATTTTGAACGTAAATAAAAATAATGTATAGTATTGTAAAAACGTGCGCATGAATCGTTCAAGAGGGCATTTAAAATGATATATGTTAGTAAGAAAGTAATAAAAAAATATACATTGGAATATTCATGATCTAAAATATTAGGATCGGAAATGAATAAATGTCAACTAATGTCTCAACAGCCAACTTATCAGTGAAAATGCATTTTATTGATGTCTGCATTTACAACAGTAGTTGATAGTAGGTGGAAAATGTGTGAAAATTCAATAGTAAAAGACGTGAGTTAACTTAAAGAATGAGGACTAGGTATATTCTTAGTTAAAACTAGTGGCATAGTGTGGATTGCCGTCAGTGTTGTAAGCAATCACCAAAAATTATATCTACTTAATCTCCATTTTTGTTTTTACCATCTCCAAAAAGTTGCTTACAATTTATATTACTGATTTGACCCTATAAAAATTAAAGAACTGCATAGTTCATGATTTTCCTCCCCTCCACTCATCTAAATATGTACCTAAACATTTTTTTGATACATCATAAATATTAAAAATTAAGTAACAACAATATTTTTATTTTAATTATAAATTCCTATTATTTGTTAGAAGTTTACTTATAAGACAACTCAATTCTATTTTTTTAAAAAAAAAAAATTATTAAGTCTATCGTCTTTAGAATTGAAAAAAAATCTTTCAGCAGAAGTATAAGTTGCAGGAATGATTAAACTAATATACATAATTTAGTAACTTGGTAGAACAGTTGTTAAATGTGTTTCATTCATATATTTCAGAAGTTTATAAAATGTATTAATATTATATTATTTATAACTTATATTTATATATTTAATATGTGTTTGATAAAACTGATCATATGAATATACGATTGATAATTAAAAATACTGGCCATATGTCTAAGTGAACTAAATTTATCCCGAGGAAAATAATCTTTGTAATAAGATATCTTTTTCAAAACCAAGTAACTCTATACAACTGTTAAACCGTGTAATTCAGAAAATTGTTCATTGATTTAGACTAATATAGGATCTACTATTTCATAGACTTAACGTTAATAATTAGTTTTTCTATCTATAGATACTTGAATCATTCAATATCTTTTACTACTAGAGGGAACTTCTTTATCTCTTTCTAAGTCATTTACTTCATCCCAAACTAAATCAAATGTTTGCCTATATTAATTTAATTTATTCTTAAATTCATTTATTTTTCGAGTACAGTATGAAATATTTTTTTTTTTAACACATTAAAAAAAATACCTTGCTAAAGGTAGTATTTTACCAAAAATGATTAAAATCAAAATCAAAATTTTCTAAAGTCAAACAAAACACATTTTAATGATTCAGCGTCTCAATTATTGGCATTCTCTCTAATAGACTGCATTAATTAGATACCTTAATCTTGTAGTGATAAACACCATAGAAATAACATATTACATATATATATATATATATA